TTTTTATCATGTTTAGTCAACCTTCTCCTGTTATTGTTAGTCAAGTTTTAGTCAACTAAATCTTTATCATATCACAAATATTTTGCTCAAAATTATAATCACAACTATTGTTGTCATTTAAGAAATTTATTTTTTTCATTTCATCAGAATTATTGCACTTCCACCTAAGCACAAGTCAAGAGAATGTCAAGCCAATGTCAAGCCTCGCTTTCGGGTTGAGCTTTCCTCGACTGCGCAACTGGGGTATAGAGAGCCTAAGTCCCGCCCCTCCGCTTCCGGCTCATGGGACCTTATTTCGGAAAAAATATGAAGGGTAGTCAATGGCGAGAGACAACTTATCTTTTTATTCCGTCTGAACTGTGCCCTCAATTACACATATGATGTTTGTCAATTTAAAAGATAATTCTGAAAGTCAAAAACGTTGCAGTTTGTCATAAAACAGAAGAGTAACATTTAGTTTTATGTGAAAATCGCTCTATGAACTACATCTCCCGGGAAGCGAAACAACCAGTGAGATCCGCTGCTCGTGTGTGCGCAGTCCAAAACACGGCGTAACGTTACGATTATAACGTAAAACTCTAGAAACAATGACAGACAATAGCCTCAGTAAAGTTAGCTTCATTCATTGAGAGCAAATGTGCGCCTTTGGGGTTTGTAGTCTTTGTAATTACGTATTTTCACAGTCTTATACCTCAACGGTTTTACATCAAACTGCGTCTTTCTTTACTTTAAAATGTATATTTTAAATTGACAAACATCATATGTGTAATTCAGGGCACAATTCAAACGAGATCAAAATATATGTTGTCTCTCGCCATTGACTACCATTCAATATTTTTCCGAAATAAGGTCCCATGGTGGTCGACCGGAAGGGGAGGGACTTAGGCTCTCTATAGGTTGCCAGGTTGAGATGACAAACGGGTTGAAATTGAATATGGTGTGTAGATTGTGTGAATATATTGCATTTAATACAAGATCTGGCAACTGGTGTTAAGTAAAATATTACTGGGCAGCAAATGTATCCTTAAGAGAAAAGCTCTGATTGGGGGATTTAAACTCTTCACATCTATCATCCACAAGCAAGAAAGCTCATAGAGGTCCTTTTTTACCCGACAAAATAAGAGTGCTTTTTTCACAATTTTTTATTTTTTTTAACCAAAATTCTGTCTGGTCTTTTTCATCAACAAGATTGCATGTTACAGTCACAGTTATCATTTGATGGCGTTGGTGTCGTCTCGTCATCGTTTTATCTTAGTCATGGACAAAAGGATGTTGACGAACATTTTTTGCCGTGTGTTTCATTAATGAAATTAACACTACTACAATACTACAATACTACTGATGTTCAATTTGACCACCTCAGGCATAAGTGTCAAAATATACTTTTGGGCTGTTTGGGATTTAATTGCATCTATTTTGTATTTATTTACCAATAAATGTAACCATTCACTCTTTGACCATTGTATGGCCTAGTCTATATTGAGTTTTTACATTTTATAAATAAATATTGGAGAGTTCAGTTTTCATTTCTGGAAGACTGACACAGCATTACTTTCAGGGTAGTTCTGGAAACATATAGCCAGAAGTTGTGCTCCAAACCTCTCCCTTTAAGGGAATGTGTGCTGAAGTCTTTTTCCATTGGGGGGTCTGTAAATTGGAAATGAGCGAACGTTCTCCCACATCTCCCCACCCCCTGCCTTGCAACAGCTGTAAGATATTAGGCCTTATTTTCTCTTCCATTGAGAGACAGGAGGAACGGGCTCTGTGCCTTGCTATGATCAAGCTCGAGAGGACAATGGGGATCCATTAAATGAACGATCTGGAAAGATCTGCACCGTCCAAAAACAAGTGCAGAGGACTGGGTTGGAAAATTGAAGTTGTGATTCATGCTATCTTTCCAAAACATCTTAGAAACTACTGACTAAGTTGCAGATCATCAAAACCAATTTTTCACTTTTTCAGTGGTCTCTCATAAAGACAAATGTTGGGTAATTAATTTGCACATGATTGTATTAAAGGAGTAGTTCACTTTTAAAAAAAACTTTTGCTGATAATTTACTCCCCCGCATGTCATCCAAGATATCCATGTCATTCTTTCTTCAGTCGAAAATACATTTTTGATGAAAACATTCCAGGATTTTTCTCCAAATAATGGACTTCAATGGGAACCAAACGGTTCAAGGTCCAAAAGACACTTTTAGTACAAACTGCAAACTGTTCAAAGGGCTTTAAATGATTCCAGACAATGAATAAGGGTCTTATCAAGCGAAACGATCGCTCATTTAAAAAAAACAACAACAAAGTTTAAGTTTTATAAGCTCAAATGGTCGCCTTGCTCTGTTCTGTGATGCGCGTTCGTGACTCTCCTATTCGAACTCGTTAATCAAAATGAACGAATATTTTTTCGTGTCATTTGGTTCAGTTAACGAACGAAATGAACGAGTTGACTCGGGAAAAGATTCATCAGTGGGTGCTGTGTATGGATCACACGTTCCGAGTATGTTAATTTTTTCTTGATATCTGATTTTAACATTCAGTGACGTATGGTCTAAATAGTTCATTGATTGGAGTATTGGAAATTTGCAAGTCTGCAATTCCCCTGGCTGGCCACTCTTTGTCGCCATTTTGTCAGCGTTTGTTGCCCGCCAGCTATCCATGGTAGTCACGTGACTGCAAAGGATGAATTGGATCTGTGCACAAACTGTTAAAGTGACAGCAGCATAATAAACCTGCTGCTTTCTGTTACTTTATTCAAAGAACAAAAAACAGAAAATCACTCGCTGCTCTTAACTTAATAACTTCCGTAACTAATTGTAAGCATTAATCTGTATTTCATTTTTACAATTAAGACTATCCAGTGTTTTTTTTTACATTTTGATTACTTTAATTTCTATAGTATTTTGTACCTGATTATACTGTGATTATACTGATTATACTGACCCACCTGCACAACTTAAAACAGTGTTTTATTCATCTCTCTTTATTTTATTGCATTTATTTGTGCTATTGTTTGAAATTTGTTTATTTGGTCTTATTACTTATTTTTTATGAAAAGAAAATTTTGCATTGAAGAAAAGTAGATTTTTATTTGTATATGCTATCAATTATAGTTATTTGAAAGAAAACCTGAATCGTTAAAAACAGTATTGACAGGTCACACTTCGGCCAAGAAAATTGCAATTGGTGCATCTTTAATTTCCACCTGAGTGAGCTTTTAAATGCTTCGATTTAACCGTTGATAATCAGTGAGTTGAACTCAAGAATCAAATCAACTGGTTCATTGAAAATATCTGACTCAAACAAATGATTCATAAAGTTATCTTATGGCTTTAGAAGTAGGCTATATAGCACACAAGGTAGATGGACCACTTTTATGGTACTGTTGTGTGTGTGTATTTTAAGCTCAATTATAATTTTTTGAAAAAGAGTAGTTATTACAGAGTTCAGAGTTTCTCTATTTTGTGCTCCACATAATGAAGTCAGTTTTTTTTATCTATATGAGGGGTTAGTAAATAACAGAATTAATGATTGAAATAATGTTGTGTCCCTTGTTGTGCTGTGTGACATATGAGTGAGTTGTTTGTGGTGTGGTTAGCTTTGAAGCTCAATGGTGATATAACGAGGCTCCATTAATGGTCTTCAGATGTTCTTTCCACGATATAATCGAATAGCTCTGATCTCCAGGCACTATTAGTGTGTGATGCCCAGAGTAATTACCTTATTGCTTGTTGCCCTCTCATTACTTGAAATCTGTTTCTCTGAACCGAATTGGTCTGAGATCATGCTTTCACTCTTAGTTGGAATTTGTCTATAAAATTGTACAGATGGGCAGCTCTGGCATTGTTATGTTGATCCTGTTCTGAGCACTTCCAGGATTTTTCTGCCTTTTAAGGCACTGCTTTTCAGCAGCATATACAGTAGAGGTAACACCCCAGCAAGCAGACAGCAGGGCTTCTATGGACTCATGCTGAAGCCTCAAGCACAGCTGATGACAAGCTGTGCTTATACGCCTAGTTTGCCTTGGTGCTTTACCACACAAAGAACACATGTGAGCCCGACCATGTCATCAGAACCAATCAGAACTCCAGCAGCAGCAGTCCGCATCATGCTAAATTTGCCAAAAGGCTGTTTCTGATAAACTAGCTTTGGAAAGATGTGATCCATGCTTTCAGCCTTTAAACCCTGCAGGGCAAGTGCTCTTCAGCTGCTATTTTAGTCCGTTCTGCCCCCTGGTGGAATTCAACTTTTTTCCTATGCAAGAAAAATAAGAAAGAAAAAGATTTTATAGATTTAAAAAGATAATAAAAAGATGTATTATTTTTTATATCATGTGGTTATCAATGTTTATCATATGAATGAGTTTAAAAGCTTTTATGCAATTTTAGGAAAAGTTTTGATTATACAATTTCAAACATACATTCTTAACCTTATTAAAAAATGTAATCCTTCTTTAACATTGAAAAACATGTAAACAATTTTTAACAAACTTTTTTAATGTTATATACATTTTGTTTTAATTGTAATAGGCTATCTTCATTCTTTATTTTAAACATTATCCAATATATATATATATATATATATAAAATATTTTTACAAATAGCATAAGTTCAATAATTTTCCCTGGAGTAAAATGGTTTCACGTGAACACAAATGATTCTGTTATTTTTAAGACTCACTGACCATGACAGTCATGAGGTTCCTCTTATGATATTTCCAGTTTTATTTGCTTTCTTCATGTTGGTTATTTTTAGCAAAAAGAATTTGGCTGACAGATTTTCCCAAATATTCCAGTTATATTATAATATAATATTACTATAATACTACTTTTTTTTTTTTTTTTTTTTTTTTTTTATAATTTCAGGTTGGTGACCCAACCAGTTTCTGGCGTTTTGATTGTCGTTACTCTTTTACCAGGCCCGATTTACTGTTTACTGTAAAAATTTACTGTTATCACAGTAAATCTAAAAATTGTAACCTATATTCTCTCTTCCTCTGCATAGACTGAGGAGTAGATGTATCATCAGGAGCGAGCACAGTATGAAGAAAGCAGGCAGGCCAGTGGGGAATAAGGCAGCAAGCGGAGGAGGTAAAGGTGACACAGTGACGGCTGGAACCTCAGCTGGCAAAAGTGCTGTTAAGAGCCCTACCACAGCTCCGCTCGCCAAGGTAACACCAATCTCTTGCTCAGATCAACAACTTCTATTTGAGATATTGGTACTTTTTTAGGTGATTCATTAATCTTTGATCAACAGGTCAAGAGCGATGATGATCTTCTAGCTGCTATGGCTGGGAGCAGTGCAGGGACAAACAGCAGTGTTGCCAAGGGCAAGAAATCAACACACACAACATCCTGTGGAACAAACACTAATAATCCTGACACCAAGACCAAGACCAACTCGGGTATTTAACCCTCTGGTGTTCCTCGTTATTTTTTATATTGCACTTCAATTGGTACAAAAAAAAAAAAAAACACACTTGTGCTCCTCTAGGTTAAAAATGACCTCATTGAAATGAATGGGAAGCTAATTTTATCTAATATTTTGTACTGCACCCAAACAAAATCTTATTGAAAGCTACTTTTCTGAGATATCAACCTTAAAGGACAACTCTGGCGCAAAAGGAACCTTTGGTCTAATAACACATTGGTACCTAGTCAACCATTCTCTGAAAATTTGTTTTCATGAAAATCAAATGCAAAGAGTTTTATCTCTAAAAACGGTAACACTAGTAAATAGGGCATAGAGTAATGAAAAATAAAATCTCTAGTTAATACCACTAACAAGGCTCAAAATAGCATAATGAGGGTCCCTACATGCAAACCGAAGCATTGAGAACTTTGTAATTGTACAGGCCGTTTAATAAGAAGATATTTTATAAAGACTGTCCACTTCACGTATACAGGCAGGAGCCATCTTTGGAAAACAGCCTCGACCAGTCGAACCATGAACCACGTGGTTTGACTGGTCGAGGCTGTTTTCTTACAACGTTCTCAATGCTTCGTTTTGCATGTAGGGACCCTCATTATGTTACTGTGTTAATATGGGGTTACTGGGCTATTTTAAGCCTTGTTAGTGGTATTACATAGAGATTTTTATTTTTCATTACTTTTTGCCCTATATACTAGAGTTATAAGCTAAACAGTTTTTAGAGATAAGACTCTTTACATTCGATTATCATGAAAACAAATCTCAGAGAACGGTCAACTAGGGACCGATGTGTTATTAGACCAAAGGTTCATTTTGAGCCGGAGTTCTCCTTTAAATTTGGAACACAACTGTATGGCTTTGATTTTCTCACAGTATATAAAAGTATACAGGTATATTTCATATAAAATTCTAAATCTTGATCTTTTTAATCTTGACACTTTAACAATAATCTGCCTAAACTTCTTAAACATCAATCTACTAAACTTAAGTCTGTGCTCCAAAACATTCAAGATTTATGACAATTTAAATGGGAAATGTCATTTTCAGGTCTATCTATGTTCAAAAAGTGAATAAATGTATAGCTACTGCATAAATATAATTTAGTACCATAAAATCGTACATTCATTTCATTGAAAAAAAAAAAAAAAATTGTTGCAGGCCTTTCTTTCTATTTTTTTGTTATATTTAAAGCAGTTTAATATATAATATGAAATGATATGATATAATAATCATATAATATACACTACACAATGTTATTAAAAGATAAACAATTATTAAAAATACATTATCATTTTGATCATTTGTCATCATTTTTCAATACAAGCAATGAAGTGTCTCTTTTTAGCCTCTTCATCACACAATTTGCCCAATTTCACATTTTAAATTAAGCCTTTGCATACAGCATATATGTTGGAGACTATATGAACTGTAAAATCTTGGCAAAGACATGAAAGTCATAGATAAATTATCGTTTGATCCTTGTATGTTAATATGGTTTTACATTTTGAACGGTTGAAGTTTCAGCATTGTGAGGTGAAGTGTTTTGTTCATTTTTCACATATTTGTCGTTGTCTTCACAAGGCCCATCTGGTAAACGGGCATCATCCACGGCTTCCAAGGAGTCAAACTCCTCACGAGACCGTTTACGAAACTCCAGAAACTCCAGCAGTAAGAAGCAGTCGTTCCCTGGTGCCTCTGATCGAGCCCAGCCTAGACATTCCCGTGGACTGGCCCAAACCTCAGACTCAGAGTGCCGCATGAGCAAATCAAAGTCTGACGGTCAGCTTAGCGATAAAGTGGCCCTGGAGGCCAAAGTGAAAAATCTGTTAGGTCTGGCCAAGAGCAAAGACGTGGAAATCCTACAGCTACGGGGTGAGCTGAGGGACATGAGGGTTCAGCTGGGACTGCCTGAGGTTAGATTAACTTCTGATTATAATACTGCTTTATGATCATTTAGATTTTTGGTCCTAACTACATGCATATCATACTAAATAAATCAAGACTGTTTATAACATAGTTTAATGTTCCATTTTATTTGAAATAAAATTTTAATCCAACAAAACTCAATGGAATAATATTTAACTAGATCCAGAGTCAGATGCATGTATCCAGCAAATATCACTTAGTTTATGTATTGTCTATGAATTATTTTGTGGTATCCAATCTTTTTATTTTATCACATTTAAATTCAGACTGCAGTCTCACAAGCCAGGTAAAATATAATTTATTTTTATAATGTTCTGTGGCACTGTAGATCCAGCAGCGGCATAGCAATAAGAAAAACTGCTCCAACCTGCTCCAGTACTACTGTAATTTTGAAAATGAAAACAAATATATAATTTTTTTTCAATTGACCAAAACAAAATTGCACAGTCAGAGAAAAAAAAATGCAGTTTTGGGCAAGCCAAAGCATGTTGCATTCCTATTTTCACCTGTTACTCCCTTAAAAATGTAATTCTGAGCTAAAGATTAAAATAAGATGCAATTATGAGATAGCAACTATGAGATGTACTGTTGAAATTAATTACGAGATAGTATTAAGTGTTGCAATTACAAGATAGAATTTAGTATTAAGTCACATTATGTGATATATTCACATTTTGAGACATTTTGAATGACCTTTTTATTAAATTGTAGTTTTTTTACACAGAGGGGGAATAAGGCCTCCAGATTGACTCGATTAAAAGATATCACTACGATTTTAACAAACATGGCAAATAAATTGGTCGGATATGTAATTGTATTAGGATATAGATAGTGAGTTCTAGTATTTATGTGGTGATGCAAGTACCAGTGAATAGTGTTGGTGCATCTGTAATGTGACAGAACTGATTGTTAAGATTTTAGAATAGACAAAAAAAAGCACTCACTGTGATGTTATTGTATTCCTAGGAAGAAGAGGAGGATGAGAGGCCACCCGAGAGGGAGGCAGCCTCAGTGATCACAGCTGCAGATGTGGAATCAACGTTGCTGCTCCTGCAGGAACAGAACCAGGCCATTCGTGGAGAGCTCAACCTGCTTAAGAATGAAAATCGTATGCTTAAGGACCGGCTCAATGCTCTGGGCTTTTCCCTGGAGCAGAGACTGGATGGGGCTGAGAAGACTTTTGCCTTACCCTCTACCAGTTCTGAACTTACCACTTCTGGAGTTGGTGGAAGTCATGGAGACTGTGCCACTGTGTCCTCCTCTGTGGAGGGATCAGCACCAGGCTCCATGGAGGACCTCCTTACTGGAGGCCAGCGAAGTGGCTCAACGGACAACCTAGACAGCGAGTCCAGTGAGGTCTACCAAGCAGTGACCTCAAGTGATGATGCCTTGGATGCTCCCTCAGGCTGCGGTTCCTCGTCGTCCTCCGAATCTGAAGGTGGCGCCCCGGCATGTCGCAATTCCTCTCGGAAGGGGAGCAGTGGCAACACCAGCGAGGTGTCTGTGGCGTGCCTGACGGAGCGTATTCACCAGATGGAGGAGAACCAACACAGCACAGCCGAGGAGCTCCAAGCCACTCTACAGGAACTGGCCGACCTGCAACAGATCACGCAGGAGCTGAATGGCGAAAATGAACGCCTGGGAGAGGAAAAGGTTCTACTTATGGATTCACTCTGCCAGCAGAGCGACAAACTGGAGCACTGCGGCCGTCAGATCGAGTACTTCCGCTCGCTCCTGGACGAGCACGGTGTGGCCTACTCGGTAGACGAAGACATCAAGAGTGGCCGATACATGGAGCTGGAGCAGCGCTATGTGGAGCTTGCAGATAATGCTCGATTTGAGCGTGAGCAGCTCTTAGGCGTGCAGCAACATCTGAGCAACACTCTAAAAATGGCCGAGCAAGATAACGCCGATGCTCAAAGTGTGATTGCAGCGCTGAAGGAGCGCAACCATCACATGGACCGACGACTTGAGGTGGAAAGGCAGGAGCGCTCCGGCATGGCAGCGGTGCTGGAGGAGTGTAAAGCTGCGGTCAACAACGATCAGGCTGAGCTGAGCCGCTGTCGGGCGTTACTGGAGCAGGAGAGGCAGAAGGTCGCCGAGCTCTACTCCATCCATAATGCCGGAGATAAGAGCGATATCCACCAACTCCTGGAGGGGGTTAGGCTGGACAAGGAGGAAGCTGAAGTCAAAGCCTCCAAACTACAGGACGAGTTGGGCCACGCTCGCACTGAGGTGGCATGTCTCCAGGACACCCTCAACAAGGTGAGCACAAGCACTGGTTCAGTTGATTTAAGAGCTGTTAGGAGCCGGTTTGACTTGGTCTATCTCTCCTGTTGTGGTGGTCCAGCTGGACGCTGAGTACAGGGACTTCCAGAGCGAGGTGCAGAAAGAGTTGGCCGATCAAAAGAGGGTTTTAGAGAAGCAACGTGAGGACCTGCAGGAGAAAGAGACAGAGATTGGAGACATGAAGGAGTCAATCTTTGAGCTGGAGGATGAAGTGGAGCAGCACAGAGCCGTCAAACTTCATGATAACCTCATCATCAGCGACCTAGAGAGTGAGTTTGACAGATTTTGATGATTTTGTTCTTCCCCTGACCTAAACAAATGTATTGCATGCTGAACTGTTCAGCATAGTCTTGCTTAATCTTACACAAGAAGAGACTGTCCAAATCAGTGTTGCCCAACAGTGTACATTTCTGATGTCACCCTTATCCTACCCATCCATTTTAGGTCTTGAAGTCTCTACTAATGAGCTGTTCAGGTGATTCACGTGTGTTTGATTAGAAAGATTTGTGGTGCCTCCAGGAACAGGGTTGGGGAAACTTATTACATGTAAAGCAACCAAGCAGTTTTTTTTTGACCTGCCATTTAAGGGCATGTAGATCTAAAATGGATGATACCAGATTTGTATCACAGGATACAAATCAGTTGCAGAGAAAACGTGGTGTTGATCAGAATTTGTATCTGTTCAAAAATAAGAATTACCTGATTATTTCACAGAGAGAAAACAAGTTTCCTTGTGAATATCTAGTTTCCTACTGAAACTGGTATATTTTAAACATGATTTTTTTTCCCCCTGCTGATTAAAAAAACTGCACATCCTGACTCAGAAACTTCTGTCAGGTAGTCTTTTCACATGTGCTTTTCAGTTTTGTGTGCAAGAAGCATCAGATAATATATGTATGTGGAAAATTCGGGTGCATGTTGCCTATTTTCAAAACTAGCAGAGGCTGTAATTGGTGTATCTTCCTCATACGACCACATGATGGTGCCAGTCATTCAAGGACATGGTTCACTTATTGTGTTAGGAGGATGAATCCACAATAAATAAATAATGTTTTTCTAACATCACTTGACTGCTACGGTTCAGAAATATCAGTGGCAATTGCAAGAAGAGATTATATCGTTAATTTAATTGACCGTTTATCTTTTGTGGTGACATTTAGAATGCATAATGCTTTTATTTCATAATCACTTCTTTCCCCCCATACGAACCCTGTATGCCCTCAGTTCACATGCTCACTCGCTCTCCTTCCGGTTTCCTGGCAGATTCAATGAAAAAGATTCAGGATCAGAAGCATGACATGGAAAGAGAGATAAAGATACTGCACCGTAAACTTAGGGTAAGTGAGGGCAAGGGCGGCAGTCCATGCAGTCATTTCTATGTCCTCTGCTTCTGAGGGTAATGTTAGGATAAAACCACAGCAAAAGATTAATTTCTTATCAGAGAAAATTCATCTTACATGCATTCTTTGTGGACATGAGCCCACTTTAATTGTTTGTTACTTCAAGTTTGAATTAACCCATTTAAGTACAGATCTTTCATGTGAATAAAGTGTGCAGTTTGTTTGCATTTTATTTTATTTTAAATATACCTTTTGCATTACATTTTAATACATTTTCTTTTCTTTTTTAAAAATACATTCATTAAATGTCTCTGCTTGTCTAAAATGATTCTTACTAATCTTCTGCCTCTGTGCTTATGCATTTATTTATGTTCAGGAAGAGTCTGCAGAGTGGCGTCAGTTCCAGGCGGACCTGCAGACTGCTGTGGTCATTGCTAACGACATCAAGTCAGAAGCTCAGGAGGAGATTGGTGACTTACGGCGCCGCCTGCAAGAAGCCCAAGAGAAAAACGAGAAGTTGAGCAAAGAACTAGATGAAGTTAAAAACCGCAAGTAAGTGTTAAAAGCTTAAACATGCTGTGTTTATGTTATGCTGGTGGTCAATACTGTATGTACACTAGTCAATGACAAAACCTGATCCTATTGTTTTCTTCTAACTCGGTTTCATAAAATCATTATCTTTACCAGTGTATGCCTGCCCTACTATTTGAGCATTTCCTCCCATTTAAAAATAAACGTTGCATTTCCACACAGGCCTATGGTGAGCATCTACCAGACTATGATACAGCTGGGTTTACAGGGTCACCTTGAATTTGCCAAGTAACACATGTTCCTAGAACAACAAATCCTACCCATAAACCTAAACCTAACCCTACCCATAAATTATCTCTAAAATCTGAGGGAAATGGTATGTGTATATAACACTTACACTCACCTAAAGGATTATTAGGAGCACCACCATACTAATACTGTGTGTGACCCACTTTCGCCTTCAGAACCGCCTTAATTTTATGAAGTTTGCATTCTTGGTATTGAGAAACGACCACTGTCTTGACCAGGACCACACCCCTAAATGCATTGAAGCAACTGCCATGTGATTACTTGATTGGATAATTGCAATGAGAAATTGAACAGGTGTTCCTAATAATAATCCTTTAGGTGTGTGTATGTAGAAGCACTTAACCCTGGTTGTAATCCTTAACTTAACGCAGACTGTGAACCTGTCCCTCTGATTGGTTGATGTTGTTCCAGGATCAACAAAGACGTGTAACATGTTGTACTTGGTGTTTTTCAATGAAGAACAGTGAGTGATTTTTGTTGTTGTTGTTGTTTGATTAACATTTATAGATACAGACAGCAGCAGGTAAGTACAGTACATTAGGCTGCTGTCACTTTAAGGCCTAATGCACGGATCGTATTGGCACACATCTGATTTTCTTCCAAAAAATGCGCGGATATAATATAAAGTTTTGCACAGCCTGCTGGGAGTGGAAACCAAGCTCTCTTATTAAAACGCTGTCATTCTTAAAGTACCGCTACTAGTAAATATTAATGCGAAACGCATCTAGTAACGGTATTAGAACAGCCTTGGTTTAATTATCTGTGAGCACATGTTTGGGTTAATTATATTAAGGCCTATATTTAGCAGATGAGGGTCGCACAATCGTTTAAATTTAATAAAGAGTTTCATGTCTGTGAGGAGTATCCATGTTGAAAATGTGACTCTGTGTTATGTCAAAGGCAAGACGAGGAACGTGGACGTGTATATAACTACATGAATGCCGTTGAGAGGGACCTGGCTGCACTCAGACAGGGCATGGGACTGAGTCGCCGCCCCTCCACGTCTTCCGAGCCATCTCCCACCGTCAAAACTCTCATCAAAAGCTTTGATAGTGCCTCACAGGGTATCACACCATTGTTAAGCATTGCTATAAGTTTCATGTTTATGGGGCATCTTTAATTTTCTCAGAAGGTTCATTTGGTCTATTCTGGTGTGGCCACAGGTCCTGGAGCTAATGCTACTGCAGCTGCTGCCGCAGCTGCTGCTGTCACAACCACGACCCCGACCCCGACTGCCCCCTTACCCCGCACACCTCTCAGTCCCAGCCCGATGAAGACCCCGCCTGCTGCTGCTGTCTCACCGATACAGGTAGCTCAGAGTTACACAATGACACATAATATATCATGCAGTGCTGAGTTTTTTTCACTGTGAAGGTCAAACAGTATCATTCTGACTCTTTTCCTGCTTGGTGAAATCTCTGAGATAGCAGCACTTCCTCCTCCTCTGGGCCTCTTGACAGTTCTCACAGCATCGGCTCATTCATGAGAAAGTAGAATTTCCATTGTGGGATAGTTTCCTTTATGTTTTATTTCTAGTGTAGTCGTCACTTCTGATGCTGTCTGGATGTCAAACATCCAACAAGTTTGCTTGGGTTCCAGTAATGCAAGACCCTAGCTTGTCAATAGACTTTCCTTAACAATTTAACACTATGTTGAAATGCGAAGAACAGGAAATGTTTAATTTGTTGTGACAGTTTTTTTTAGCTTGTCAAAAAGAGCTTTTTTAACCGTTTAGCACTATGCTAAGTTGGTAAGTTAAGTTGTTAGCATGTTAACTGAAGGCTAATCGAAAAGGGAAATGTTTAATTTGTCATGATGTTTTGTTCTAGCTAATCTAAGGGGCTTTTATTAAGCAATTAGCATTATACCAAGCTATTAAGCTGAACTGTTAGTTTGCCAACCGAAGGTTAACAGAAAACACAATGAAGGTGAATTAATCTGTGATGAAATTTTGTTCTAGTTAATAAAAAGAGCTCTTCTTAAGCAGTTAGCGTTATGGCTAATAATCTAGGCTATTAGCATGCTAACCTCAGTGAGTCTCTAGTTGTCACTGGCGATTGTCGTTTAAACTTTCTGGATCCGCCATCAAATTGATAAGTTTAATTATATCTGTGCTGTGAGAAATGGCTATAAATCTTCTCCTCCAACATCATCACACGCAATATAGCCTTCTAGCCGAGACTCCTTCTTTATGTGTACAGATGTGACATAATAATGAGGCAAAGACATGCTCGACTCTCCAGCGGAAATCCACCAGTACCACTAGAATTAAAAAACCAATAGTACCAATTGCCATTATTACAAGCTCACCGCTTTGAATCGAGCAAAGGCAAGCAGATAGTTTTGAACACTGGCTGGTTATTCATTATCTCAAATATGTTTTGGATCATTTTTAACCCCAAAAAAGCTACGGACTGCAGCTTTAAGCTGTTAATGCTATGCCAAGCTAGTAAGCTAAGTTACTAAACCGAAGGCTATCAAAAAATGCAAAAGGAAAGTTGTCATATTTTATTCTAGCTACCATTGATAAGAGTTTTTCTTAACTAGTAGTCTGAGCTGTTAGCTTGTGAACTGAAAGGTAAAGTAAAACACAAAGCAGGGAAAAAAAGGCAAGTTTTGACCATTAATTTGACCATTTTAGCTTTAGTTATATAATGTGATATGTAATTTAAAAGTATGATTGTGTGGGAGTTAATGATCTTTGCTTGACAGAGGTGCTATCAAAACAACCAAAGCTCACATTGCAAACCATGCACAGTGTACGAAACTAATCCCAACCTCATTTCTCACCTCAGTGTAAAGCTTGGTGATCGCAAATGGTTTTTGATATTGACCGCATATGTCAAAGTGACACCCTTAAAAATGTTCAGCACTGAAGTTATATGAAAATGATTGTCAGGGCATTATTGAGGTAGTGAGAGGTGAGGTAAGGATAGCAGACAAAGAGGAAACGGATATAAAGTCATATCTTTCTGAGATGTTAGCTGCAGTCTGCAGCTACTTTTGATTGATGTAGAAATCGAGTAGGGTTCTTGGGGAAAAAGAGCGAGATGGATTTAACTCAAGCTGGCCACAATCTAGCTGTGGATGTGTAACCTGTCTAGCAGAAGTAATGAAGGGAAAGAGAAGACCCTTTACGAGGATCAGATGCTAAGGCTTATAAAAGCTACCATTATTTTTTTTTTCAAGTGCAGAAAAGCACATGTGGAGCTCTTAAATGAAATGGAGATATGAATCTATCCCAGTAGTGGTGTAGATTATTTGAGATATTGATCTTTTTATGACTTCCTGTCATAATGCTGCCTTACCTGAATTGACTCTGCGGTCGTTATTCCTTCACGCTGTTATCTTTGGTTCAGATCAGAATGGTTGGTTGTCGAATTACGAAAATATTGAAGATGAATTAAATACTGTTTATGTTAATCACCTACAGAGACACTCAATCACTGGTTCTATGTCCGCTGCAAAGCCCCTCTCCTCGCTTACTGACAAAAGACCCAGCTACACTGACATCAGCATGCCAGGTAACAAAAACTATTAAAGCTTTTTCTGTTGTTTCAAATGGTGCTTATTGATCATTGTTTGTAGTTAATTTCAGTACAGCCATTGATTTATTACCTTTTTATTTTATTGATTTATTGTTTTATTCAAGTCATGTTAGCTTTTCCTTTCAGTAGCCAATGTCGGTCATCCCTAACATGTTCTAACATCTAATTTATTGAAAAAGTGTACAACATTTTTGTCATGTAATTGATTAAAGTGGAATAAGAAAATGTATTGTGTTGCTATTGTGCTGTATAAAGTTATAATCACAGTCACAAAGTATCAAAGTCAAAGTATACTATTTTGGGCCCAAGAGAATATTTGCTGTAGACGCCACATTGCTGAGCAAATAAACATAAAAGCACACAACACACACAAAAAAAAAAAACCACACAAAATAACACCAAATTCTCACCAACTAGGTGCTTTAGAATAAAAAAATGTACATGTATGCAAATTAAATAAAAAATCATATTTATAAATGACCTTTTATTTTAATGAATCTTTCAATACAATATAATAATTACACCTCTTATAATTATATATAATTAATATATTTTGCCTTGGACCAACGTCATAACGTTTAACATTTGTCAAGCTTTTATTAAAACTCAATGAGTCAAGGAATTATTGTGTACAGTAAAATTGAGATTTCCAGTATAGTAAAACTATTGGAAATTGATCGAATATATATTTTTAAAAAATCTTCTTAAGCTCAACTCTAAAATATTTCATCTGTTAGAAATTATTCTTTGTAAGTGCAATGTCTATAATTTATATATATATATATATATATATATATATATATATATATAAACTTTTCTAATAATCACCAAAAAACTGGAAACATATTAGTCAAAAGGAGTGGGAAGCCTGTTGGAAGCCAACTTATGACCCACTGCAAAAACAAAAATCGCATGCATAATGTGAAATACATCACCCCGATTTTCCAGAACTCGTAACGGGGTGGATGTCCTAGGATTGAGATCTGGGAGGTTGTTTTCAGTTGCTGTCCCAACACTAGAAGTATATGACCCCGCAAAAGCAGCAATGAACTCATAGTGACCTCAGATGTGACAACTCATGCGAAAATACGAACAAATACTCAGGTTTTGAAGCCCCCTCCTCCCTCATTTTCACCATTTTTATGCTATAAAGAGCGGCAGTGTGTGTTTGTGAACGTGCAAGAGAGGGCATAGAGCCCTTTATGTCATGCTTGTTTTTAAGATGTCCGGCTGCTTACCAGGAACTCTTATCATCCTCTGGGGAAATGACAGTGTTATGATTGGTGGGATGACTTTCATGACCCTCTGACCTTTTACAGCTGTTGAGATTCGGTGGCTGTCAACTTTAGTTTTTTTTTTACCCTCTAATGTTCCTTTCAATTTTATAGATAGATTTCTTCGATTAAATTTGTAATAGCATTTGATTGTCTTTGATTCAATGTGCAATAACATTTTATTGTCAATATGTCAATTTAGCATTGTGTGTTTGTAGACTGCAGCATTCATTTCTTTCTTTCATTGTTTTTCCCCCTAGAATTGCCACACTTCTATTTAGCTCCCAGATGAACTGATAAGAGATATTAAAATCATGATTATGACATTATATCTCTGTCTTTCTTTGTATGCAGCTGAGCATCTACTCAGAGGAGCCAATGGCAGTCGTCCCACTTCAGCTCTTCAGAGAGTCTCAAACATGGACACTTCAAAGACCATCACAGGTGAAGCTTAGAGCCATTTAAAATCAAAAGAATAATGCTGTAATGTCTTGTTCTTAAATTCAAAAGTGTTTGAGGTCAGTAAGTTTTGAGACCATAATCAGTAAGGATGCATTAAATGGATCACAAGTTACAAAATATTATATTTCAAATAAATGTTGTTGTTTTGTTTTTTTTACTTTCTATTCATTAAAGTGTCCTGAAAAAAATTATGATCATAAGAAATATTCCTTGCGTAAAAAATCTGATGATTTCTGAAGGATCATGTGACTCTGAAGTCTGGAGTAATGGCACCTAGAAATTCAGCTTTACCATCACAGAAATAAATTACTTTTTAAAATATATTAAAATAGAAAATAATTATTTTAAATTAGAATGATATTTCAAAATATTACTGTTTTTGCTGAATGAAATCTTACATTTAAATCTTACAACTTTTGAACAGTAGTAAACATTCACTAGGGGTGAAAATATTTCTTCTGACAACAATGACACTTTCCATAATTATTTTCATATTCCGGAGACACTGATGCAACTGGAGGGACAATTAAATGAATACATTATACTTTTACATTATAATAATACATATAGTCAGTTATTCAATACCATTATTAATGCACATGACATGTAATACAGCAATGTGTTTTATACCACTAGTAGGGGCTACTGTTACCCAAATGATGATCAAACAATTTCTTTTCTCCATTGTTTAGTGTCTCGAAGAAGCAGCGAAGAGGCGAAGAGGGATATCAGTACTCCTGATGGAGGCCCATCTTCCTCTCTGATAGCCATGGGCTCTTCTGCAGCTCCTCTCTCCCTGTCATCTTCCTCCTCCCCCACTGCCTCCGTCAATCCCACAGCACGCAACCGCATTCGGTACGCATTGGCCTAGAACTGACTCTAACTACACACATGCTGTATCATACACACTTTTGTTTCGCTTCTCATTTAAATGTAATGGCGATCTATGGACATGCATTTTGACCTCTTCAAATTATTCTGTGCTATAAGTCTAAATGGCTTGAATGCATAAGAGTTGAACAATAACATGGTTGCTAAAACAGTCATGATTGTGTTGTTTGTCCATCTAGAGAGGAGCGAAAAGACCCTCTGTCTGCTTTGGCTCGTGAATATGGTGGTTCTAAAAGAAATGCACTGCTGAGATGGTGTCAGAAGAAAACCGAGGGCTATCAGGTTGGTTTTCTGACAGGTAGTATTAGCAATAGGAGCACAATATTTATATGTATGTATATTTATATACTTTCAAAATTCTTGTGTTTGTTTATTTGACATGACATGTACAGCTCTCTATGGAGAGGCATGTGAATTCCCCAGCTGTTTATGAACACTTTTTTTTTTTTGTGGATTTGAATATATAATTGAAACAATCTCAAAAACTATTTCTTATTTAAAAATTTGTAAAAAATAAATAAATAAATAAAAATAAAATAAAGTGAATATTTGTGTTTTTGTCAATTTCCCATTCATTTCCTATGGGGGTCATTTTTGACCAAAGACCAAAATCGTGACTAATTTTTTTTACGACCACTTAGCATGCTCGGATCATGAACTCAATTTTTTTGTGTGTTCACATACCTAATGCCAGAAATGTCACCAAGTTTCGTAACATTCAGAAGAAGACAGATTTTTTGTAGTCTGAATTTATTGGTGTGTATGTCTATAAAAGTGTGTTTGTGTGTCAGTGATGCGCGGGTTGATCCGAAATGAGCGGGTGCCTGCGGTCACCCGCGGTTACCCGCAGTTAAGGGTCATCCAAAAATGTTTTTAATGATATTCGGGTCGCGGTCGGTCGGGTCGTTTGAAAAAAGATGCCAATTAAACATTTGTATATAGTACTAGACACAGTTTTTGATGAAATATACAGCCCTACACATTATTGGCTGAATAACTGGCACGAAGATAACACACAAGCTATCGGTATACGCAGTATCAGCTGCTCGTGCTGATCACTTCTCTCAACAGTGGCAGCAACATGTCTCGGTTCAGTGAACTGTTGGAGTTACTGGAGTAAAATATAATTCAGGATATTGATTTATTTCGATTCGGAGGCGACTGTCAGGCATGTCTGAAAGTGAGTAACTTTAGTAACTTGTGGATCAGCACTGACGCAAGACGCGAACTGTTTCGAACGATTCAGTTCGAGTGTACTGGTTCGACCGGTTCACTAAAAAGAACCGGTTCAAAAGAACGATTCGTTCACGAACCGGCCGTGTCTACGATGATCACTACAGTCTGCAGAGAGATGGAGGCGGCAAGAGAAAAGGTGAAGACTGGGGAGTGGAAGCTCCGCAAATACACAAATAGAAAGAGTAAAAGTGTGGGAGACATTTGCTGAAATAATGAAAGATGATGACCAAAGTGCTGGCTTTGCCTTTGTTATGTGTAGGCCTACGTCTTCTTGCGATGCTGTGTTGTTACACGTCTATATGGCCCAATAACGCTCCGATGAGCATTTACTACTTTAAAAAAATGCGGTCAGGAAGCGGGTCGGGTACAATTTTTTTTTTTTACTTTGTTTTGCGGTCCGAGTTGCGGGCGGGTAGCTGAAAACGTCGGTCGGTTGCGGGTTGTTTATACATTGACCCGCGCATCACTGTTGTGTGTGTGTGGGTGTAATTTTTTTGCACTCTTGATGTTGTAGAGTGTCACCCCTTTACTGCGGTATACTTCTTTTAAGAATCGTGGCTGATTTGTAGATTGAAAAAAAGAGAATTCAGAGAATTTTTGTTTTTTGTAAATTTACCATTCATTTCCTATGGGTCGGTCATTTCTGACCGAAGACCACAAGTGTGACTATCTTTTTTACGACCACTTAGCATGCTCGGATCATGACAATATTTTGACTAAATTTTTTTTTTGTATTCACATACCAAATGCCAAAAAAGTCACCAAATATCATAACCTTCCGATGAAGCTGTGATTTTTAATAAAACAAAACAGAAAATTATTCGTCAGAAGTGACCGAGGACCATCAGAGGGTTAATATATGTAACATAGTTTTTACCCATGCAGCAAACGATTTCAAATATTTTGCTTTAAAATTTAATTGATAGTATTAATCGGTCAAATTTCTTACTGTCGGTTAACCAATTAATTATGAGCATCCTTGGAAGTTTATATCTTGCCAAATCTCAGATGTCATCTTTTTCCACTGAATAATAGCCATGCTATATACCTGTTATATCCTTTTTTTCCCCTCTTGTCAGATTTCTGTGAAATGCTGTTTCCTACTTAAACAAGGGCTTTCTCTTCCAGAAAAGCTTATGTGGTTGTCATAGTCACTGTTTATCAAGATCCTCACCAGGAAGTTCGCTGAATTTCTCTGCCATTTTAAATGGCACTTGACACAAAACATGGTCGTCAGCAGCACTTCTGAGAACAAACTCGTTGAATGTGCATCATCTAAACATTTTTGTTTTGAAATAAGTAGCAACATAAAGCCTTAAATAAATATTTTATTGGTTTGTGAACGGATGTTTTTTTCTTTTTATCCTCAAAGGTTTGCTACTACACATTACTGAGTTACTAAGAAAAGTCAGCGGATCATAAACAAATGAAGCTTACGGTTACTGTTGCTATTTTAATTAATATTTTAGAGAAGTAGAGTAAAACAAATTCTGGATGGGTTAGTCTATGTTTACCACCAAGACTTTACCCACATGTGAAACTACTATCTGTGATCACAGCTGGTAAAAACTGATGATTATCAAAGTGGAACGGAAGAAGAATGGCATGAAGCTTTTATTTTAGACGTAAGCACAAGATTTTTATTCAAGACGTTTTATTCCTTTCAGAACTCCCGGTTTATTCCTAGAGAAGGTTGTTCTGAAGAAACGGAGTGCATAAGTAATTCTGCATTAAATGTTATGTCAGCCACAATAACTAATGTTCCTGATGCATCAATAGTGGTTCTTGCAGTATGTGTGAATATGTGAGCTGGAGAGGATGAAGACTCTCTGCTCTTCTGCTATACATCAAGGTAAAAGGTGGACTTCAGGACAGTCTAGAAGACGTTCGTAGTTATGTGTTATTTTGTTCTTTCGAGCACAAATGAGGATGTGGGAGAAGCTAAGAACAGGAAATTTGCTTCACACCACAGAAGATTTTGCATGATGTTTGTGGGGTAATGTTCCATTGAATGTGTTCCACTGAATTTCTTACATTTGATGACTTTGATCTGGCATATCATATTGAAACCCTCTGGTTTTAAATGCACTGCATCTTAAATTTCATAATCTCACGTTTTTAGTTCACGTTAATGCAAAGTCCAGGGGCTTATATAAAGTCTGTCGTGTCTGTTTGTTCTACAGAACATCGACATTACCAACTTCAGCAGCAGCTGGAATGATGGACTGGCCTTCTGCGCTGTCCTTCACACATACCTGCCTGCTCATATTCCCTATCAAGAGCTCAACAGTCAGGACAAGGCAAGTACACTGCTGATTCTGCAGCATGACTATGCCTTATAGTCATGATGTCCATAGTATTTGGACAGTTAAAACACAAGTATCTAACCAAGTAGCATTTATTTGAAAGATTTATCAAGCATATGAGGAGATCTTTGTTATTTTTTCAGGTTAAGCTTGGTTTATTATTTGTTGTTAATCTCACAACTGTTTATTTGTTTTCAGAGACGAAATTTCACTCTGGCCTTCCAAGCAGCAGAAAGTGTGGGCATCAAGTCCACTCTGGTAAGTAGGTCTATTGCGTTAGTTTTATTACAACAGCTCATTCAGGCCAGCTGATGAAGTAAGCCTGTGGTTTGCACTCAAATGGGCATGTTCAACAGTCAGAGAGTTTCACTGGAGCGACGTGCACAAAGACCTAATGCAGATCCACTCCCATCCTGTAAGCTGACAGCAGGTGAAAAGCTGGAAACACTTAATTATCATCCAGCGCTGTTTACTTATAGCACACAATATAGAATTGTTTCCTTATTGTGAACTAGTTAAACAATATGTTCAGCTTGCAGTGCAGCTAAAGCAAGTCCTAGAAATGAATCAAATTTTCAAAATCATGGAGACGTCATACAAATTTATATACTGAACAAAGACTATTATTTAAAATTTTAAATACTTTTATTCAGCAAGGACACACAATTGATCAAACGTGACAGTGATGGCATTTATAATGTTAAAAAATATTTCCTAATGAATGCTGTTTCTTTTAAACGTTCTATAGAAGAAAGAAGTGCATCATAGTTTTCACAAAAATATTAGGCAGTTTCGTATGTTAACATACATTTAGTTCACTTGAACTATAAATGAAAAACACTTCTAAAGCATTTAGTCATTTTAGGTCTTGTTATTTGTAAAATGTACTAATACATTATTAAAATGTAAAAGTTGCACATTATATGTTACAATTATTTAATGGACCAGAGCTAATATGATCTAACCAATGTTAATAAAGGTGAAGCCTGTAACAAATTTATAGCTCACTGTTAGTTATTGTTAGTAAATGTGTCATTTACCATTAACTAATGGAACGTTGTAGCATTAAACTGACTGACTGATTTCTGAAGCATGATATGACACTGAAGCTTGAAGTAATGATGCTGGGAAATTCAGTTTTGCCATCAGAGGAATAAATTACATTTTAAAATGTATTAACATAGAAAACCAGTATTTTCAATTTTAATAGTAGTTCACAATATTACTGTTTTTTTTACTGTATTTGTAATCAAATAAATGCAGTGTAAGTTGTTCATGTGTTCTTCTCTAAAATATTTTGGCTGGGATTTGATAGACTGCGTTGTTTATATATATATATATTATTACATTATATATGAGGCATTTGTGCACCAGTAATAAATGTAATCGTTTAAAACATCCCTGGATTTCTCTGCAAATAGTTTTTTTTATTTTTTTTTTTTATCATAAAAGTCATGGGATCTTCATGGAGTTTCACTGATTTCTTCTTGCTGAAATGATGCAATAGTGGTGTAAGGTGCCTTTTCACAAATACACTTTAATTATCTCTCTCTTTCTCGTTTAGGACATCGATGACATGGCCCATACTGAAAGACCGGACTGGCAGAGTGTTATGACTTACGTCACTGCTATCTACAAGTATTTTGAGACCTGAGTACATGTCCTTTTACACCCCACCATATCATCCAAGCCTAACCCTAGCACAAAGTCAAATCACATCGATCACAGGGACAATCGCATTAGCATATGCTGATATGGCGTGATACATTGATTATATCAAGGTAATCCTCTACAGTGGAACTCTGCTGCTAATGCAGAATCAGTTTGCCTTGGCAATAGCGCATCAACTCATGTCGGGAGACCCTAAAACACCACAGACTTCACATCCAGTTACTAATTCTTAGAGTGGATGATCTGAGCCTGTGGATTTGAAATTGAAATCAGTCTCGAGGAACAGCGTGGACCCGCTTGTGATTGTGACCCCGTGCCTTTTGCCACCCCGAGTTCTTGCATCCAGAAAGGCATTTGGAGCAAGTTCTTCACCTTAATTCACAACGTGCAACAATTGAACTTGTTTTAAAAGAGCGAGACTTGCGGATTGCTCAAAGCTGTGCCTAATTGAAACGCTTTATTGGAGAAGCACTTCAGTAGAGGAGAATTGAACACTTATAGGAGTTATTCACTACAGCACACAGTCAGTGGTTTAACGTTTTACAGGATTGTTTTGAAAGCTCATCGTGGGCGCCTTTATGTTACGACTGTGACCGATCTTGGCTTGAAATACTACATATTAAATAGGGAGGTCAGCAATAAGCTTGTGTAACCTTTTGAGCCATTTCATATGACATTAGTGCTGCTCAACAACAGTGTGATACTGTAGAAAACACTACAACAGATTTGCAGCACATGTGCATGTACTGTCCAGTGTTTTAGTCTGAAATAGTATACCAAAAATGAAATCTTGTTTGTGATGCAGTTAAGCTAACTTCCTTCAGTACTAATCAATGGTATGTTCTTTCTCAGGATAGGAAAGTCTTATCGATATTTATCACAATGAATAATCCATATGTGATTCATAATATGTTATGCGCACCAATACCTGCACATTTTATAGTTTGCAAAGCACAAAAATCATCTTACATGCACTAATTGAAGATGTAAATGATGCTACATTCCAGTGCTTTTATTATGGATGAATAGAATGATTTATAGAGCATGAGTGAGTGAGAAAAATCCTAATCAACACATATATCCTGTTTTCCAGCTGTGCTGAATTCAGGCATCGCTCTTTTCATGAGTATGAAAGTATGTTTCTGCACCACCTGTCTGCAAATAACACTTAATACATGACGTTCAAATAAAACCAATAATGATAACATAGGAATTTTTCATGAAATTGTTCTATTTTCTGGTATGTCTCTTATTTTCTATTTCATTCCCGAGAATTGTATTTGAATTGTTTGAAATAATATCGATTCAAATTCCAGTGTGTGTTTAACTAAGCAGTTTATTTTTAGCTCTCAAACATCTGAGAGAAAGATTAATCTGCAGTTACTCTGGTAATCATTTAAGATTAATTCCAATCATGCGTTGAACAGTACAAGTTACTGTACTTCACCTTTGGACCATCATCACATATTCATTGTAAGTAAATGACAGATTGATCTTTGTTTGAACCTGACCAAATGTTTTGTTGAGGAGCCTCATATCAACTCGACTTACTAAAAAAAAAGAGACATGTTGAGATGGACCTGCATTCAGTATATGTCGGTTTGATGGGCTTAGTCCAGCTTTCATCACATTAATATGAATGTAATACAGGAAAAGGCTTCTCCAGCTCTGTTGCCTTTTAGATTGTTACTTTATGCCAGTTTATTTTCTGCCATTTGTTTAGTTTTTTTTTTAATTATGAGAGTATTATCTTAATAAAAAATGTTAAATGTTTTCCTTTTTATAAATAAATGTGAAGAGCAATCAATATGCTTTTTCTCCTAAATGAATCAGTTGTGGTGTGTAAATGTTTGATTTAGTTATGTTTTTCTTTGCGTTTTTGTTCATTTCATTTGCTAGCCATTTAATTCTCTGGAGTTCGCTTTTCGGCTTTAATTTTTCAGAGTTAGATTAATTGGTCTTTATGAATCTAGGTGAACAACTTGTAGGCTATAGAAATAACAAAAATGAGGTTTTAATTTCCTTTCCGTATTGGTCATTCAAGTAACATTGTTATGCGTTGTGGTCGCCCACCCATTTGACTGGATGGCTTTTCTAAACTTAGTCTTAAACTCATTTACAAACCAGCAAAAGGTTTGAGGAAAGGAGATGGTGGATGTTTATGAGTTTAGTTTCTGCTCTTTATTGTTGTAAAGGATGTGTGTCGTGCAGCATGGTTAATGCATTTCTAAGATTAGATATGACGTCAGTCATTACATAGGGAGAAATGTTGCATTTTGTCCTGAATGAGACCAATTAATTGGCCTGCTTTCTTGCACAGATCCCTATTGTTTTTCACGGTCACGTGTGAATGAAACCCAGATTGACCTTAATACCGGTATGTCTGGCTTAATTGTGGGACTAAAGTCTCAGAGAAACTGTCTATTATAGATTATTGTTAATATATCGACAAAGATTTCCATTTTAAATGATTGGTAAATCTCGTCAATACAAAATAGTAGCTAATTTGAATACTGTAATTCTGCCTTGTAAATTTCCTTTCAAATAGGCTAATCTCACACATGGTAATCGCAGTTCAGTTGTTTCACTGAAACTTGATCACAGGAAGGAGCAGTATCAGTATCTAAACATTCGTCCAGACCTCCGGCTCTGGATTGGTCAAGCAGGCGCACATAGGGTCTGTCATATTCTTTAGTGCTGATACGAGGGCGCGCGACTCGCAGCTGACGCCTGAACGCGCCGCCGACGGAATCATTAACGAATCGTGAACTACTGAGGACTCTTTTACGGATGGTTGCCGTTTTATCTTTTGTTCATGGGTGTCCTGCTTGTTTTATTTGTCTGATTCAGTCATTCCAGGAGTTATCAACTCTGATGGTAAGTTGGAAACCATTAGCTAACTACCTAAGTTTCGAATGAATCGAATTTGTTGGCATAGGCTACTTTAAATATTCGTACACAGGTTGCCTGCACTTTTTAAATTAAAGTGAATTATTCAAGTGAGATTGTTTCTAATAGTTAAAACTCATCCTATGTGCAGTTCTGTAGGTATCAAAGTATTTTTGCTTCAAAACAAATAACTTAATACAGGAACAACTCTAACTAAGTTAGCTCAACTAGCATTTTTAAATAACTTTGGAAACAGCTAACGTTAACTTTAACTAATTACTTGAGAAGAAAACGATTTGTAACCGAATTGCGTCTGTGCGCAAATTAGCAGTGTAAATGAAACTGCACTTCATGGCAAGCCATTTTAACATTTATTCCTTAAAATTAACCATTGTGTATTTTGTTGTGAAGTTGCCTACTGTTTAAACTAGTATTTTTATTCTTGCTTGTAAGTAGGCTACTAACTTGGTAACTTTCACCACTAACTAGCCTATTCGCCTGTTATTTTTCAACAGCGATTACACTTTCAATTAGACTCTGGCATTCATTATTAAATACTTAATTTGTATAGTCACTGGTAGTCGTAATCCAAATTTACTAGTTGGTAACGTTACTTATTCTTTAAACACTTACCTGTTTAAATTAAAAAATGGTAACCTATAGAAACTATATTCACCCTGAATTTGCTATAGTAAATGAACAATTATTGAAACAGTAAGTAACATTTAATTAAACGTAGGCCACATTTATGAAGCAAACAAACCTGAAATAGTATTTTGGTCACACTTTACATTAGGGTCTAACTATCACTTTAACTAACTGTTTATAATGAAATTACTACTTATTAATATTTTATAAGGTAGTTAATTCTAGTTATTGGGTAGGATTAAGGGATGTAGAATATGGTAATGCAGAACAAGACATTAATATGTGCTCTATAAGTACAAATAAACCGCCAATATTATTATCTAATACGCACTGCAGTTAATAGAAAGAATTTGACCCTAAACCAAAGTGTTACCATTATTTCTTGTACAAATTACTCCAGGAATTTTGGTTTTATTTACCACTTCAAAAAAATAATTTTTTTTTTTTTTAAAAAATTTGTGCACACACTTCTGTTTCTTCCAGTTGTTGCTCTCATTGGTATTAAAAAATAAAGTAAGTAGCAAAACTGTACACAAATTAGCACAGAGAGTTAACTTTAACAACAGTTTTGTGTTGATTCAGCACTCTGTTGTTATTTTTGTGTGTTTGCTGGTATAGATATTAAATACCGGTGTCTCATAAATAGGCATTCGCTTCTAATAAATGAAGCACTAGTAAACCTGGAATACTGTAGATGCTAGTAACTTTTGTATAGTTTCAAATTACTACAAAATAAGTAATTAATGAAATAGCCTAATAATTATTATTAGTATTACTTAGAAATATGTACCATCAACAATTTTGCATACTAGTCATATGAGTCAGAAGTCAATCGTTAAAATCTAGATCTTTGTCAGATTTCAGTTTGATACCAGTGACACTTGGGACTACCAGAACTTCTGTCTATTCTAATGCATGGTTACTAGAGAAATGAAAAAAGATACTAGTCACTATTTGATGATTGGTAAAATAACATAACAAGAGATACCAGTTATTTTATACATACAATTTTTATGTATCTGAGTTTTGTTTTAGATCAGAGTTATAAACGCATGTGTGTGTGTGCGTGTAAAATTGACTTTTTGTTTCTACTGATATGTGGTTTACTTGTTGATTGAGAACCGGAAGGGCCATTGAAGCTTTTCTGTTGTGATTTCAGCATGTTAGATGTTTAGTAACATCATTTATATCAAACTTGACCCAGATTTTACTTTTAACTTCATAACAGCAAATAAATCTTTGAATGTAAGAATCAAAACAGATTTTGAACTGAGAAATGGAGCATTTTTCATTTTATGATCCTGTCAATCATCTGAGGGAAGGAGAGTAAAACAGCTGTAAAGCCTACATTCACACACAGCTGAAGTACATCTGTTTGTTCTGAGCTGGTCTCAATGATTCATCTGAAATGTTTGAATTGGTTTGCTATCAAACCCTGATATTTTGGATTTGGTTGAGTTAGGAATGAATCAGATTTGGAGCCAGATAGAGTTTGTGACTGTAGACTGATCTTGTCCATCATCCATCCACAAGGGTCCACTGTTGAGTCTAGTGTTGTTTGAGGTTATGGCCCACAATCTGTCTAGTATAGCGGTCTTCTTGTAGACGCAAAGCACTGAATCCAGAAGACTTCTTGGGAAACTGATCAAAGGGTTCTATGTTTTGGAGACCCGTTTCTCCGTTGTCCCATTGTCAGCCCTAAACTCTCACAGATCCATATCAATGGCTGCGAGGCTGGGCGTCAGGATCTTCTTCTTTATTATGTTTTTCTCACCTCTTAGTACAATTATTTTCACCTCCCCCGGCCAGTTCTTGTCATCTATTCACATTCTGTTCATTTTTGTTCTTTTTCTGTTGTCAATAAATGTCATGAGACTTACCCCCAGTTTTACGGATAAGGCTTGCCTAGTCACAGACTAAAATGAATTTGTGTTGTCTTACCTAAAAGCAATTTGCACTGACATATCTTAAAATACAATCACCTAAAGGGTTATTAGGAACACCATACTAATACTGTGTTTGATCCCCCTTCACCTTCAGAACTGCTTTAATTCTACGTGGCATTGATTCAACAAGGTGCTGAAAGCATTCTTTAGAAATGTTGGCCCATATTGATAGGATAGCATCTTGCAGTTGATGGAGATTTGTGGGATGCACATCCAGGACACGAAGCTCCCGTTCCACCACATCCCAAAGATGCTCTATTGGGTTGAGATCTGGTGACTGTGGGGGCCATTTTAGTACAGTGAACTCATTGTCATGACTCATGTTCAAGAAACCAATTTGAAATGATTCAAGCTTTGTGACATGGTGCATTATGCATGGTCAGAAACAATGCTCAGCTAGGCCGTGGCATTTGAACGATGCCCAATTGGCACTAAGAGGCCTAAAGTGTGCCAAGAAAACATCCCCACACCATTACACCTCCACCACCAGCCTGCATAGTGGTAATAAGGCGTGATGGATCCATGTTCTCATTCTGTTTACGCCAAATTCTGACTCTACCATCTGAATGTCAGAACAAAAATCGAGACTCAACAGACCAGGCAACATTTTTCCAGTCTTCAACTGTCCAATTTTGGTGAGCTCTTGCAAACTGTAGCCTCTTTTTCCTATTTGTAGTGGAGATGAGCGGTACCTGGTGGGGTCTTCTGCTGTTGTAGCCCATCCGTTTCAAGGTTGTACGTGTTGTGGCTTCACAAATGCTTTGCTGCATACCTCGGTGGTAACGAGTGGTTATTTCAGTCAAAGTTGCTCTTCTATCAGCTTGAATCAGTCGGCCCATTCACCTCTGACCTCTAGCATCAACAAGGCATTTTCGCCCACAGGACTGACGCATACTCGATGTTTTTCCCTTTTCATACCATTCTTTGTAAACCCTAGAAATGGTTGTGCTAAATTGCTAAAGTCACCTTTCTTTCCCATTCTAACATTCAGTTTGGAGTTCAGGAGATTGTCTTGACCAGGACCACAGCCCTAAATGCATTGAAGCAACTGCCTAGTTGATTAGATTGGCCATGGTGAAACCAGGCCAGTGTGTTGCAAATAAAAGTCCCTGTATTTAAGCTTTTTGCAGTTATGGTAGTATAATCCTGAAAGTTAAAATAAAAAATCTCCTTCTCTTCCAAAAATAAAAAAACCCATTGAGGACAAATAGAATTCCCTCAAGAATGAGATTGTAATGCATATATATAAATGCTATTTATTATAACATTTACTGTTTTAAAATGCTTGTAATGTATTTTTGAAAAGCGCTGTAAATGTAGCAGAGCAGCTGTTTTCACATATTTTTCAGAGGTGAGTAACCTCACAGAGCGTGTGGGAGCACTTCAGGGTAAATAACTTGCAACAGGCTAAATGGCTTCCCATAAACACCAAAACAAAAGGAGGGCTTCTGGCTATCACTACTGGACTGTCTGCTAAATGTAAAGTCTGAGATAAAGAATATCCACCTCAAGATTTTTTTTTGTGTGTGTTCACATATGTTTCTTTATCTTGCAAAGTGTTAAAAAGCTTGCCATTTGTAATTACAAAAAAAGGCTTTGACTTTGGAAAAGTTCAATAGTCTGCTGTTATCAGTCAATCCCGATACAGTGTCAGAATTTTATTGTTAGGCTTTAGGAAATGGGATAACCTTATCATACTGCTGCAACACTCAGTATTATTTTTAAACCTCATATTGTTGTCAATGCCCAAAAAAGTAAACTTTTTACTTTTATCTGTTTTTGTCCAGTCCTTCACTTCAGAGCCTTGTTTTCCTGTTGATGACATATTTTCTTTTCTTCTTTCTCCAGGGAATGCAGTGGAATACTAAATGTTATAGAAAGAAGGACAAGCAACACATGGAACAAGGACTGGACCATCAAGTTTTAACATCATGACATGGGATCATAACAGATTTTTTTTTTTTTTTTTTAGTCGTTTTTATTAAAGGTCAAATCTTTTAGTAAGATCTGAGGTAAAATTCTAATGTGTAAAAATACTTTCAAAAATGATTTACAAAATTTAATGGCACATTTTCAACTAGCGATTCAATAGTCTGGATCGTTTTTACAGACGCAACATTTGATTATTCTCCTCAAGGCATCTCAGTCTTCTGGTAAGGCTGACACTAGGGCTCGTGAGTTGGCTGTTGCCTCGAGCTGCAGCTATGGACATTGTGGCGAGGCATCGTCCTTTCTCCCCAGAGACCTCACCATGCTGAACAATGTCTTTGACGTGTTGTACATGATTCTGGAGCTGCTGATTGCCCTGCTCTCCATCCTGGGCAATGTGTTAGTCTGCTGGGCAGTGGGCCTCAACAGCAACCTCCAGAGCATCACCAACTTCTTTGTTGTTTCGCTGGCCGTGGCAGACATTGCAGTGGGTGTGCTGGCCATCCCCTTCTCCATCGTGATCAGCACTGGTTTCTGTGCCAAATTCTATGGTTGTCTGTTCATCGCCTGCTTCGTCCTAGTGCTGACCCAGAGCTCCATATTTAGTCTTCTGGCCATCGCCATTGACCGCTACATTGCTATCAAGATCCCGTTACGGTGAGTGAAGAATGTTGCTTTCTGGATATTCATGTTTGGATATTTATTTTAATTCAGGGAGGCTGCTTTTTTATTCCTTTTGTTTGCTGGATTTGTAGACCATATTTAGTTTCATGCCACCAATGTTAAATATTTTGGCCTTCAAGAGAAAGTCTTCTACCAGTTATCTAGAATATTCTACCATGTGTTTTGAATGCAAGAATTTTTTTTAAAAAGAATGCCAGTTTTCAAATGATCTTTTTGTAAAAAGTGTATTGGGATAATAGCGACCCATGGTATGTAATAATGTCCGTATATTTTTTCTGTTGAACAATAATTGAATCTCTGAAGACTCAATAAATGCAATTCACTTATATTCCTCAATGGCAAAGTCTGATACACAATGATGATGTTATGTTTGACTCATAATGTGTTTGGGCATAATACATAAGCTTGAAATGACTCAGCGATTTACTGCATAGCAAGTACTGTATGCAATCAGATATTAGTGGCACTGTCACTTGATGGTGGATCTGGTGAAGAAGCTGTCAGCGATTCAAATATTGGTTTTGAAGATGTTGAAAACAATAGTTTTGAGAATAAGATTGCGAAAATGAGCCAGATGCTGAATGTACTGGGGAAATGAGCTCCGACTATTACAGTGATGTTGTAAAAAGCATCTGCTGAAATTGAACCCTTTCAAAATTTTGCAATTTTAATTAAAGTAACAGGAGAATTTTATACTATTGCGACAGTTAGAAATCCATCCGTGTAAGATATAGATCCAAGTCGCTAAAGACCCAAAATTCCCGAATATTTAATGATTGGCAAAACGTTCATGCATTTAAGGGTTAACTAGCTTAACCAGCATTTTTCTTTCTAGTTGACCAGCATTTTTTGGAACATCAAAGCAACTAGACCAGCATAACCCTACTGAAACGTCTACCTGAAACGCGACTAAAACCTCTCTAAAACTAGCCTGGCGAGGCTGGGAGACTACAGTACCTAAGACAAATAGACCAACTTAGGCTGGCCTGCTAAGATGTTTTTTGTTTTTTTTTTCAGCAGGGAAACCAGCCTGGATCAGTAGGCAAGATGGTCTTTTCAGGAAATGAACACACATGGCACTCTTCCCGGGGCAAAAATAGATCCAAATTACTAATTTGAAATAAACTTAGGATTCCATTATAGCACACATTGTGTCTTTCCAATAAACATCAGATTCTTGCCTATTTTTGGTTTAATATGATTTAAGAACATGGCAAGATCTGAAAACTCTTTATTTTGAGGCTGTCTTTGAGCCACTCGTCAATCTGATTTACTCTGGAATGCTTCTGCTAATAGTTTGTACAGATTTCCTTTAGCAAGTATCCACTTCTGTTTTTTTGTCAGTCAGTCTTTTATCAGATGCCAATTTTTTCCCGTAAACTCTTCATACATCATGATGAGCCGATTAGCACTATTCAGGATGGACAGCTAATCTGCTAAAGGAGATTAAGGAAACGTTGAGATAATACTGTCTCATTCTGTTTTGGAATGGTCAGTTCTACTATTTTCAATGAGATGTGTGATAGACCATGTGCATGTCCACGTCCTGTCAGCAGGTTTTGGGTGGGGGACGGGGATGTTTTCTCTGTGTGGCTCACTGAACTTCCACATCTGGAGAATGAGACTAATAGAGGCTAAGGAACTCAGCTGTTCTCCCACACTGGCCCAAAAAAAGACTGAAAATAGATTTCTGTTCCAAACGCTGACATTTCTGAGCACATTCTTTCTTCTAAATTGCTCCAATGGGAGATTTTGCTGGAAATACTGTGAATGGATGCTAGGATCATTAGCACTGTGGTTGCTTCAAGGTTGTTCTAATTCTCTGTTCGCGTTGTATCGGAATTAATTACCATAATTCGAGATTTTACTTTGAGTTATATTAACATTCATTTCTATGGTACTACAAATGTATCTGTGTGTGATATTGTTGTCGATGACAGACCAAAAATCTTCTCTACCTTCCCTCACAAATGTATTCTTCTGTAAAATCTAGAAGAAGAAAGAAAGCAAACAAGGTAATACTGGCTATATTAAAATGACATAAATATATAAGTAGGCTAGATGCTGTTTGGATTATTGGAAGTTTCAGCCTTAAAGTAATAAAAAAATAAAACGCAATTATAAAGTTTAAAATAACTAAATAGCTACATATTGAGATGCAAGTTTTACAAAGTTGCAATTATGAGATCTGGGCATATTTATGAAATATTAAAATCACAACTGAGAGATAATAGTCAGAATATAGAAATTGTGCAAAATAATAAAGTCGCAGTTGAAATATAAAGTCGCAATTATGAAATATAAATTGCAATTCTGAGATATAAAGTCAGAATATAGAAGGTTACATTGTGAGATATGAAGATGTGATTGTGAGTGTGGAAGCAATTTAATATGTTCTAATGTTCTATATGTTTACATTTAATTATATTTATAGAATCTTAGAAATATGATGGTAATTAGATTAATATGTCGATGCATAATGCATAACCTTATGCATGTGTATGTCGTTGTATATGACCTGACAAAAGTTAATGTGTGACTGAGTGCATGATTGAGACAGAGGGTCTCCATTCAAGGATATAATATGATTAATATGATAGACAAATCTTAGTTATGGTTGAGAGATCTCTTCATTTAGCCTCAGGAAAACAACCTTGGGGGAGGAACAACTATAAAGACGGAAGGATGCCCCCCACTCATTGTCACACTCTGCAGGCACTTTGAATGACTGTTGCCCTTTCATTGCAAGGGAATAAATAATCTTTAAAGACAATAGGTACATGTTTGTCTCTTATTCAGTTATAGAAAATTGTTTGCCACCAGATGAGATATAATATATATATATATATATATATATATATAGGAATAAAATTGCAATTGTAAGATATAAAGTCCGAACTGAAAAGTCGCAATTATGAGACACGAAAGATTTTTACTTTCGGGAAACTAATAATTACATAATTCCAGCATGATGTAAACAGTTTTTAAGGGGTGTCTAGTTTTACAGCCATTTGCTGTCATTTGCTTACTTTTGTTAGTACTTTGGCCTTTTTAAATTTGCAGTCTAGACAATCTGGAACAAATATTTATCGTTGGGGAATTTGAAAAACATCAAGCGTAGCGTTAGTTCTGTCAGGTAATGTTAGTCAAGTTTGTTTCTCAGGAGCTAATTACCCTCCTCCATCCCCAACTCCTTCTCTCGTCAGTCAGGATTTTGCATTCTGATTGCTCATGAATCAGACTAAAATTCTCTAATTACGTATGTTGTCATTAAAACTAATTTATGATATCTGCAATACATTCAAGTTGGTTCTGTTCTGTTCCCCTAAGGGGGGTTATTGCTCTTATCCATGCTAGACTGCATGAATGCGCAAGGAGTTCTCGCCCAGAACGGAGCCACACCGCCAATCTGTGTGCTAATTCGCCTTTGGCCCTAAAATGTAGATTGACCAATCACAGCGCAGCCAAGAACGAGCTCCCACAGAGGTCCGACACTTTTTCACAGCGCTCCATTGACTTTCAACACAGGCGTCTCATATTTTTGGTCTCGGCAGGCTATTACCGTCATAGTTTTATCAAAAATATGGTTAAACGTTGTGCCTCTGGCATTTGTAACACAGATACACGTTTCCCAGAGAGGTTGGAAGGGGGTGTCCGTTTTTTTTCCTTCCCAAAAGCGAAGTCAAATCCTGACAAGTGTCGTCTTTGGATTAAACTGTATGGACGTCCTCAGTCAGCTAAACCCTGCAAAGATCAACAAGCACATCTTTTTTGCTTCTAACCTTACTGTGAAAGTTATAGTTAGACCGTTTTATAATGTTTGAGCTTGTGATTTCGATTCTCACACCGGTTGTTGATAGAACACACTGTTAATAAATACAACGTTATACTCGTGTAGTCAGTTTGCTTTAAAAATTATGGAATAGAGAATAGAGACCTACCCAGCTTTGCATGAACAGTGTTGCTCCCTGATATTGTTAGTCCCAGCCTCCGTCTCGATTAGTAGGAAATGCGGTGGTTCATTTTTTGACTGTGAGCGGTAACGTTATGCTTTTGCCTCTATTTTGGATGCCTTGTTGTTTCTTGCGTTTCACCTGTATATGTCTTGAATATAGCCTTCGAACGCATATTGCAGCCCCTTTTGCCTACTTCTATCGGACACTTTATTTGCTGCTTTATAAAAGTTTGATAACATTTCAGCAGGAAGAGCTGTCACAGCATAAGCCATGTTGATACCAAACCAGAGCCCAGATGAAGTTTGACGGATGTAACAGCAACTAAGGGGGGCGGGGCTTAGCCAAAGGTGAATTGTCAATCATATTTGACGACAGTGGTCCTGACAAATGATTTTCTCTCTCTTCCAGATACAACAGTCTAGTAACTGGCCAGCGTGCCAAAGGCATCATAGCGATCTGCTGGGTTCTGTCGGTTATCATCGGGCTAACACCCATGCTAGGCTGGCACAAAAAGAAGCCCAACAACAGCACCAACATCAACAGCACCGACTGCCCGCCGGGCATGATGCAGTGTTTGTTCGAGGAGGTGGTGGTCATGGACTACATGGTCTACTTCAACTTCTTCGCCTGCGTGCTGCTGCCTTTGCTTCTCATGCTGGCCATTTACCTGCGGATCTTCATGGCTGCGCGCCACCAACTCAAATGCATTGAGTCCAAGGCCATGCCGTGCGAGCTCAAGTCTCGCTCCACCCTGCAGAAAGAGGTCCATGCCGCCAAGTCTCTGGCCATCATCGTTGGCCTGTTTGCTGTGTGCTGGTTGCCTCTGCACATCATCAACTGTTTCACTCTGTTTTGTCCTCAGTGTGATCGGCCACCCGCTCTTATCATGTACCTGGCTATAATCCTTTCGCATGCAAATTCGGTCGTGAACCCTTTCATCTACGCCTACCGCATACGTGAGTTCAGATACACCTTCCGGAAGATTGTACGCTATCACATCTTGGGCAGACGGGAGCCTCTTTCTTGCAATGGGAGCACCCGGACCTCAACCCGAACGAACGTGACAGATTCACTTCGGATTAAAGTCAACGGCCTGGTGCGAGACCTCTACACCGAGCAGAGCAGCACCACCAGCAGCTGTGAAAGTGCCGAACCCGGCCACACGCACAGACCTGTTGCCGCGGAAAACTCCATAATAGACAGCCTGCCTATGGAACTCACTAATTCCCACAGACATCCGGCAGTAAGGCATCCAGAGTCGCCGCTCACTGGTAATAATGAGGGCGTTGCGTCCAGGATGCATGCTGTATTTGACATTACTGATGGGAAGGATCTGTCCTCACCACTTCACATTAAATCAGCCCTGTACCTGCAAACAGCCAACTGTGTTGAACTCACTGAGGTTTCCTGATAAATAATGCTGGCCGCATAATGGATTCAAATTATTTATTTGCTGCTCCGAAAGAAAGACAATGTAAATTTTTGCTTCTTTAAAGACTTGAAATTGATGTGGAGCCTGTAGCAGCTCAGAAGTGAGTGTGTACCGTTTATCATTGTAATGATTTTAATGAAAATTAAAAAATATATGTATTAAAGAGCATGGCTGACTGAAATGGGCATCCGTAATGAACATCAATTCTTTATATCAGATATAATTTTCAAACTTAAGATTTAATATTGTCTATTTTTCAGTTCATGAGTTGGAATGTGTATATATATACACAGTATATATATGACAGAAGACTGTGGTGGAACAACATTTAACCCAATTTTTTTTAATCATTAAATTTAATACACTCTAAAAAATGCTGGGTTGTTTTTACTCAATTTTGGGTAAAATATGGACAACCCCAGGCATTTGGTTAAATTTTTTAATTTTATATTTTTAACCCAACGTTTGGGTTTGTCCGTATTTTACCCAAAATTGGGTTAAAACAACCCAGAATTTTTTAGAGTGTACATTCATTTTTACTATGTGGATGGATATGAATTGGATTTGATGGATTTGAACTACAATTTGACATCCTGTTTGCTTCCTCAAATCAAATTCAGGAATTTAAAAAGCATTCTCAGATAATTCTCAATGGTTCACACACCCCAGAGACAGGGAGAACACACTTTGTTTTCTTGTGACGGCTGACCGCTGAACCCAGCAGACATGAACACAACCTCGGCATCTGCACTGCAACACAAACACGAGCTCAAAGTTCTACACGCACAAATGCTGACAGGCCATTGATTTTGTTGAATTGTAACTGGGAAAGCATGTTGGTGAAAGTTAGCCAGCAAGACTGTATTCCATAAGGCTAGAGTGTGTATTTATGCAGCATTGCAACTCATGCTGTGTTGTTTTGGAGGCTTTGTGAAAGGTTTTAAGTATTGCTCTTTGACTGTGGTTTTCTATGAGACACTTTCCACATATACACTGTGGAGTCTTGTTATTTTTGTTTTTAAATCATCAGGGGCACAAATCCAATGCTTTTTGTTGAGAACCATTAGATATATTAGACATTTAACATAAATTTGAAGATAGTCGATCCTTTCACTTTTAACTGGCTATCGGCGACCTTAGAGACATAGCGAGTTATTTTCCGAGCCCTATTCTGATTCCACTGACCATTCCACAAATTTCTGACTTTAGCTAGTTAGCTCACATAACATGGCCAAAATAACTGTAGTCTAGTGATTTCAGAGTGACATACAGTAATCGTCCACATATCTCAAATTGTTGATGGTTCCCCTATTCAATATTTGATGAGTCCAGGTCTAAATTTCACACGACCACCTCAGTGTAGAGCTCGAAAAGAAATGGGGACAAAATACAGCCCCGTCTCACGTCCCAGTTGATCCTGATCTGATTTGTATCATCATAGAGTGCTCATAAATTTTTGCTGCCTTATTTTGTTCCTTTAAAGGTTAAAATATGTATCTAATTTTTTTTATCATCATTCTGTTGCAACAAGATTTGCCCTGGCAATGTTCATGAAACATGCTTGTGATTTTGTGCTAATTCTTGCTGCATGCATTAAGCCACAGAAACGGCAATGAGGGCACATTTGATTTTCCTCTACCACATGAATAAATGACAATTACTTAGTTGCATATAAGGGCTGTTGTCAAGTAACCTGTGTGAGAATATACAGTTCCCTGATTACTGTATGTGCATCTGTAGAGATGAAGATGCTGCTATTAAATCTGATTACAGCCCAATCATAATTTGCCACACCAAACCAGTATTGCCATGAGGGTCATTGGCGAGCAAAAACAGATGCAAAAAGGGCAATATTATTCAATATTAACTACATGTATTATTCAACGGTTGTTCAGTGCTCTTTGCTCATCCGTCTGATATTGCTTAAGTATGTAAACGGTACATTCAATTAATGTAATCATTTTGGTCCAATGTGTGATATAGCAGCTGTGAAATGAATTGTGAATTTCCTTCCAAAGACGGAGTCTCCAGACATGAAGTGCTCATCCCAGGAGATTCCTCCTCTTGGGCTGTTGTGCTCGGTCACCCGCTGAAGGCGTATATGAATCCTAACATTGTATTTTTCCCAGCCTATTTCCTAGTCCCAAAAGATTCCAAGTTAAAAGGCTGCGATAGTTTATCTCAAGAGATTTCTATATCTAGATGTATTATTTTCTGAATTAAACTGAATCATATGGTTCAACTGGCGGTCCTGACAGATTTGACACACAAAAACAGGCTACATTAAGCCTAATCCTATCCGTGTTATTTCAAACAAAGGCTCATTGTGTGCTGACAAAGGGATGTTAATGCATCCGAAAATGCAGTAGGCTATTCACACCTAATGAACTCCAATATGACTCCTAGGCTCGACTCCATGTCTGCCAGTGGAGCTTTTGGATATTCAACATTAGCAGTTTGTTCCACACTATTTACAGTATATTTGCTCTATATGCATTTGCTCATACTGTGGGAGTGCCGTGAGTGAGTAGGATATGTGTAGATGTAGGCCTATAAACTTTGGCATACATTTAGCTTTTATTGAGCTAAGCAAACAGGCTGATTGGTCTCATCTTTGACATAAAGCTCATAGAGGGCTTCATATCACATTTAAAGTTGTGGAAAATAACGGATGATGAAGCAAATAATGTTTACACACTGATAACATTTTTTTTTTTTCCTTCCAGAAAAGCAGTGTCGGGTTTAACTGGAATTTAGGCTTATTGACTAAGCTTGTGTTGTCATGGTGAAGTTGCTGTTTGTGTCTCAATGGCTGTTATTCGCCAGTGTTGTGTATTTTTTTTTATAACGACCGTTCAGAAGTTTGGGGTTAGTACATTTTTAAAAGGTTTTAAAAAGAAGTGCACTTATCCTCGTCATGGCCGCATTTATTTGAACAAATATACAGCAAAAAAAAACAAAACAAAAAAAAACGGAATATTGTTATATATTATTACAATTAAAAAAAAACTGTTTTCTTTTTTAGTATATTTTAAAAGTGATGCAAAGCTGATTTTTTCAGCACGATTACATAATTTGATTAATAGACTGTTCAAAAGAAGAATATGTAATATGTATGTAATATATACATTCTTATTATGTAATATAATATGTATTACATATACACTCACCGGCCACTTTATTAGGTACCCCATGCTAGTAACGGGTTGGACCCCCTTTTGCCTTCAGAACTGCCTCAATTCTTCGTGGCATAGATTCAACAAGGTGCTGGAAGCATTCCTCAGGGAGTTTGGTCCATATTGACATGATGGCATCACACAGTTGCCGCAGATTTGTCGGCTGCACATCCATGATGCGAATCTCCCGTTCCACCACATCCCAAAGATGCTCTATTGGATTGAGATCTGGTGACTGTGGAGGCCATTTGAGTACAGCGAACTCATTGTCATGTTCAAGAGACCAGTCTGAGATGATTCCAGCTTTATGACATGGCGCATTATCCTGCTGAAAGTAGCCATCAGAAGTTGGGTACATTGTGGTCATAAAGGGATGGACATGGTCAGCAACAATACTCAGGTAGGCTGTGGCGTTGCAACGATGCTCAATTGGTACCAAGGGGCCCAAAGAGTGGCAAGAAAATATTCCCCACACCATGACACCACCACCACCAGCCTGAACCGTTGATACAAGGCAGGATGGACCATGCTTTCATGTTGTAGACGCCAAATTCTGACCCTACCATCCGAATGTCGCAGCAGAAATCGAGACTCATCAGACCAGGCAACGTTTTTCCAATCTTCTATTGTCCAATTTCGATGAGCTTGTGCAAATTGTAGCCTCAGTTTCCTGTTCTTAGCTGAAAGGAGTGGCACCCGGTGTGGTCTTCTGCTGCTGTAGCCCATCTGCCTCAAAGTTCGACGTACTGTGCGTTCAGAGATGCTCTTCTGCCCACCTTGGTTGTAACGGGTGGTTATTTGAGTCACTATTGCCCTTCTATCAGCTCGAACCAGTCTGGCCATTCTCCTCTGACCTCTGGCATCAACAAGGCATTTCCGCCCACAGAACTGCCGCTCACTGGATGTTTTTTCTTTTTCGGACCATTCTCTGTAAACCCTAGAGATGGTTGTGCGTGAAAATCCCAGTAGATTAGCAGTTTCTGAAATACTCAGACCAGCCCTTCTGGCACCAACAATCATGCCACGTTCAAAGTCACTCAAATCACCTTTCTTCCCCATACTGATGCTCGGTTTGAACTGCAGGAGATTGTCTTGACCATGTCTACATGCCTAAATGCACTGAGTTGCCGCCATGTGATTGGCTGCTTAGAAATTAAGTGTTAACGAGCAGTTGGACAGGTGTACCTAATAAAGTGGCCGGTGAGTGTATGTACTTAATATGTGTAATATGTACTTGTTTTCAGCATGCCGCTATATTTTCTGCACTAAACTAGTGAATTTTCCCAATATATATTCAGAGATGATAAACAAGATGTTATAGAATAATAATTTATTTAAACCCCAATTTTGAAGAAGAAAAAAAAAACTGACATTTGATCTATTTGTATACTAAAAGCAGACATTGACTTTCAAAAATGAACTTTATTATTATTTATTATACAATTATTCAATTATTATATCAACAATTAGTGTCATGACCACTCATAAAAACAGATCAAATTATGTGATTTGATAAAAACATAACTGGACTTTTTTCCCCCAGCAGAGATAATTGAGAGCATCAGTAAAGTATATGGATCATCTCACATACAGCAGTAGAAGTACTCAGAGTTCATGCAGTTAGAGCACAAGGATAAAATTCCAACAGACATTTAAATTAATGAAGTTTGCTAACCTATCCGTCCTTCAAGACTCATTTCTTATGACATAACTTTTTCTCAAGTCAATACCGAAATAGCTGCTGTTCTGTTACTGTTATGTTTAAAGTCATGGGGAAAAGGGCTATGGATCTAGTACTTCAAAGTATCAAAGAACCTGTCTGTCTTGTGTACTAACTCCATGGAGACAAATCAGACTGCCCTGCTTCATAAAAAGATCCCTTTCTCTCTTCTCCTTTCATGGGTGAGACTGAGAGAGAGAGATTGGGAGGCAGAAAAAGAGAGTGAGAGAGTGAATAATGTAGCCCATGTAATATAGTGCTGTTTCTGTAAGACAGGAGGGGAGTTCATCCATAGTTCAGTGGTGGCACAGCAGGATAAAATTCTGATTACATTGAGTCTAGTCTGCCAATTATATTCAGTAGTTCAGAACATTTCAACATTCCTCATAAACCAGGGCTTTGTCTCTAGGTATGGCTGTAGTCAACAACATTTAATTGCCTTTTATTGTCCTGCTGTGTGAACAGACTCGTTCATTACCAAGGCTGCCGCGAGATACTGAGCAGTTTAGCACTCCGCGTCTCAAGACCGTGATGTTCATTACCGTGATATTTGGTGGTAAGTGCAGGATGCAGCATTTATATGTTACATTAATCTGTTTGGGGTCTGTCTTTTATGTCTTTAATGTTCACAGGCTGCATGTATTTATTCAATAATACAGGAAAACAGAAATATGAATTGTTTTTTATTTTACATTTATTTTTAAAATGTAATTTATTCCTGTGATGGCAAAGCTGAATTTTCTTCAGTGTCACATGATCTTTCAGAACTAATTCTAATATGCCGATTTGGTGTTTAAGGAACATTTCTTATTATCAATGTTGAAAGCAATGTATTTTGTTATATTTCTCTTTACAGATTCTTTAATCAATAGAAAGTTGTCATTTTATTATATAGTATGTTATATTATAATTATAAAGTTCCTTTGTTCTTGCGATTTCAATGTTTTCAAATATATGTTTTTTACAGAGGGAAGAGAAGAGATACTGAACCTAAATTGCGAGATTATAAACTTCATCCACTGTATAAAAGAAAAATGCAATTTGGATCCCCAAGGTAAATCAAAGTTTGCTTCAGCTCAGGTCAAACATGGGTTGACTGGGAATATGAATTCAGTTTAAGTCCAAGTTTAACGTAAGAATCATTTCAAAGCTTAAACTGGATTTTCACATGTTTTGAAGTAAAATTTGTGTCTGTGTAAATCCCACTACTAGTTTGAGGTTTGTTTTAACTCCAAACAACACTAAAAATTAGTAACTCACTCACAAATGGTTAATTTAAAGTCAAACAGACTAGTGAAGGAGATCTTAAAAAGACGTTTTCTCTGTAGAGACTGTGGACTTGATGGACAGGACGGGAGAGCTGGTGAACTTGGCAGAGAGAGCGCAGAGCACAGACCTCGTCTGCAGTTTGCTGAAGGAGAGAGAGAGCTATATTCCATTACGTGTGTCACGTGAGTTTCCACTTATCCACCTCAACAACAGATACCACAACAACTGGGAGGAAAATCAGTAAAAACACTGTTCTCTTGCAGGAGGTGAAGGCAGTGAAGGTCCTAAGTATTCTGCAGTGTATGACTTTGGCACAAGTTACCCTGAGCTAGCAGGCAATGCCTCTATTCTCACATTCATCAAAATGAGTACAATAGTTTACAGAGAAATAGTATCAAGTATCAAATTATCAAGAAAAACAGTTATTGCGTCCTTTTTACTTCGTATTGTTATTTAAACTGATTTTGTGACAAATTCATTGGCATGTTTACTAATCACAACAGTTTTCACAATGTGTAGAAATATTTATTTTGGTGATCACTGTGGTACATTTTTGTTAGGGATATTAGACATCTTTTTGTTGTAGTTGTTGGCTCTCTGTTTAATGTAAACTTTCTTTCTTCTAAATTTAGAGATTCTGAGAAAACTATCAAATCCTTCAAAGGAGAAGGATAGAAAGGGTGGAGCATCTAAAAGGGGAGGAGTCAGTCAAAACCGCATCAAATCTGTGATCAACTTTAAGAAAGCCATCACAACACCTCGGAGCTGAAAACACTCGGGCTATTTCCATGTGTTACTGTTGCCAAAATTGTATTAATAGACTTCATTGTGTTACTACTCTGTTATTTATATCATAAAAAGTAAATATTGCAGATTATTTGAATATATCTATGGCGAAGCGGGTTCTAAAAATGGTTTATTATAAAAAAAGATGTTCTTTTTTCAAGGGGTAAGTTGATCCGAGTCAGATGGCACCATCTTGGGTGTAAACTGACCATCTAGCTGAATCTGAATCAAACCCATGTAAATTATTTAACTATTTTGCAAGTAGTTTTTTTTTCTTAAAGCTACCTTAAACAACAAAAAAACAACCAAATTATGTTAAAATGTCAATATCTTTAATTGTTTTTATTTCGAAAATTATTTTCTTTTAACCTTCCCAAAAAACAGACTAAACTGAGTTTTTTGGGAAAAATTAAATAAAAACTAAATTAGAATTAGAATGAATAAATATCACTGAAACTAATAAAGATTTTAGTCAAAAGGTTCTTAGTTGGCATGGTAGTTTTTCTGCAATGTCAAACATGTTAGGCCTTAGGGACTAGGCTACAGGTCGAAAGATATGTATGATTAAGCATCTCCTGGTTCTTATCAGAGAATGATTTGGTGAACTTTTACATTGTTCCTATCAAATAAACTAAAAAAAAAAAAAGATGAATTAAACCAGTTGTGTAAAATTTCATTGTCATTATACCAGGTTATACTTCAAAGATTTAATTTAACTACAGTGCCTTATGGTGAGTGTATAGGGCAGGGATGGGCAACTTCAGTCCTGGAGGGCCATTGTCCTACAGAGTTTAGCTTCAACACTATTCAAACACACCTGAACAAGATAATCGAGGTATTCAGGATTACTAGAAAGTTACAGGCAGGTGATTTTTTCAGGGTTGGGGCTATCGCTGCGTTCCAGGCAGGTTTTTGAGCACGTAAATCACTATTTCAGCATTCCAGGCCAGTCACGCCAAACTACCTGAATGCAAGGAATTGTGGTAGCTAGATGTAAACAAACCAGCATGGCGGGGCTTATGCACACTTGTAATAATTTCTGTCGCCAAAGGTGCTCACTCCTTGTTTATTTGAGGGAAACGGAGGAGAAAAAAACGGCGCATAAGTCAAGATAAGCTGTTATACCTTTTATTTTATTTGTAAATTTGGAAATGCATTTGGTATTAATTTCTCCTTACACTCAATGGACTGAAAACTAGTTAACGTTATTGTCCTAAAGTGTATTCACACATGTACCGCCTGCAGAAACACTGCATCCGTAGGGGCTGCCATTGTTGTTTTGTATGATTTCGCAGGCTATATGACGTCAGAGCTCGTAACTGGGAGTACATCGATCTAGTACGAGTTCCTTGGTGGGAAGTCACGGGTCTGACTGTCGTTCCAGTGCACTTTCAGGTATAAGCTTGGGAAAACATGGGTTACCTGTCTGTTCCTGTATGTCTTGATCTCTCTATTTTAAGTTAAATTGATCAGAGCACTGAGACTATCACCTTTTGTCGTTGAATGATCTGGCTGATTAGATTGGTTTCTATGGATTCAAATCACAATGTTTCGCTGATTGGATTAGGAGTGGTAACACTCTCAGTCTAAGGGCAGGTTCCTAAACCTGTGTACCTCATTTACATGCTTTGTTTCAGAGTGTCTCTCCACCTCTATGAAACCCCTCCTCCCCCTTGAAAGGTATATCAACTACAATATTCCGTCAGACTTGGGTGAGATTTCGATGACTACAGCGCTGTACGACTTGGCAATGATTGCAGCTACCCACAGCTTGTGTTCTTGAGTTTCCTACACTTTAGAAAAAAAGTTGACAACAGTGGGGTATTAAAGGAGAACTCCAGTGCAAAATGAACCTTAGGTCTAATAAAACTTTGGTACCTAGTTAACCATTCTCTGGGAGTTGTTTTCATTATAATCAAATGTAAAGAGTTTAATCTCTAAAAACTGTTTAGTGTATTAATGCTACTATATGGGGGCATTTAATAAGTAAAAAGAATTGCTAATACCACTAACAAGGCTCAAAATAGCCCCACACTAACACTGTAACATAATTGGGTCCCTAGATGCAAAACAAAGCATTGAGAACTTTGTAAGTGTACAGACCGTTTAGTTAGAAGATATTTTATAAAGAGTCCACTTCGTGTATACACAGCAGGCACCATCTTTGTAAAACAGTCTCGATAATAGGCATAAGTCAAACCACGAACGACATGCCAAGTGAGCTGATATGAAGTTAAATAATTTGCATGATTTTATACATTGCTAAATCACCATAATGGATCATAAATATTTTTTAGACCTGACAAATTTGCTTTGATGCAACTGTTATGTTATGCTAAAATTTTACTTTGAAAAGCCAAAAACAGTTTTTAAAGTATAGCCTAAATTGATTCATTTCACTCTTCCCATCTGTATCTCTTCACAGTCTGGTATAAATGATGGGTGGTTCCAAAATACATGGTCACACATGACAACAAATGTGTACGATTGCCAAGATAAAGGGTGGGTGTGGGTACCACTGGCTCATCTTACCCCTCTCCCTCTAAAGCATGTCAGCACAGCTGCAGAAATTGTTTTAAAGTCCCCGTGAACCGGAAGTTGCAAACGATTTTTCTCCAGTGCTGTGACGTATTTCCAAGTGAAACGGAATATTGAACAGAGGGCAGGGTTTTACTCTAGCGCTCCTCCTCTCCATCTCTCGCTCATAGCAAACTAACGGTTTGAGGGGAGTGGTTAAGCGTTTCCCCACCCAAACTGTGAAACCTACGTCATCAGAAAAAGAAACCGTTCCAGACCGGAAGTAACTTTTCAGATTTTGATTAAAGATTACTAAGGTAAAATATTTTTTTAATATTTCACTTGCACGGATTAATTGTTCACCACAAGATTAGTAATATGCGCTAACAAAGTAAATAGGTTCAATTTTGATTTCACGGGGACTTTAACGTAATAGGTAATTTGGACTGATGATTCTGTCTTTCTTGACGTGGTAATGAAATGTGCAACAACAAACCATGGGATCACTTGGACCCTCTGTTCGTGAACGATTGCATAAGATCTGGAAATGGGCTAGTTAAACAGTAATGCAAATCGAGGTGAATTCACTCTCTGCAGGTTGAGCACGAGGACGACAGCTCAAGATGTCTGGAAATGACTTTGAATCGCTAGAGAAGATTCTGGAGGCACATGTACCCGAGGCAGAACTCAGGAACGTCAGAAAACTGCTGTTCGGAAAAGAGCTGAAGTGAGTCACACACACTTTTACTACTGAATGTAGACTACACGCCCCAGAGTTCAGTCATGAATGGAGGGACGTGCGATGACGGCTGATTTTTAATTTCAATATAGCATGTATAAACTGGCCTACATCTGAAACACTTTAGGAGATTTGTGCAGATAAGTTAGAATTTTTTTCAGTGTCACTGGTTATAACTGGAAACGCCTAACTGGATGTAAAGGTTGAAACTGAGTAAATGTTTCACGGTGGACTTTGGCCACAAAAAAGGGGTCTCTCGGCTTAGCGATGGCGTCATTGAATTAAATTTGATATAAACTCTGACATGCTCTGGTTTATTTTACTATATATCGCTCTAATAGATCTAAGTGACGCTACTTTTAACGTTTTCATTTTCGCATTATTAGGGTGACCAAAAACCAGGACACTCGGCCCAGCAAACAGGTATTCAAATGATACTCGAAGTTTATAACTCAAAGATGCCTTATTAATTTCAATATTTAAAGTAGACTATGCCTCCTCTGTATGGATAGAAAATTGTTGTATTACAAGACACATATTCAGATAGGCTTCTCAGAGGTTACTCAACATATTTTATTATGACAGATGTGTCAAAAAATAATGAATTAAATAATGATAGAAATATTAGAAAAATAAATATATAAATAATAAATAACTAAAAGAAATACCTCCAAATTCCTCCCTGTTTTTCTCCCTCATCCTCCTTGTTTGCCTATATCTATATTTTGCTGTAGAGCTGATCTTTCCCAGCAGTTTTTTGAAAACCAGGGCATTTTAATCACTTCATAAAAAACAGCCAGGGTGGCCAGGACAGGACATGAAAACAGGACATGTCCTGAGAAAACAGGACTGTTGGTCACCCTACGCATTATTATTATTTTTTTAAGTGCACACTTGAGCATCTTTAGGCTACTACAAATATAACAATTCATTACTAACAATTTCATTCGTACTGAAAAGAAAACATATTTTGAAGGAGAGGGGACAGTTTGAAATGTCTCATGCATTTATTGACCATTGGGCTACAATAATCTCAATCTTCCCTATTTATTTATATTTTCATAATGTTTAGCAGTTAATCAGCTTTTCAATAAATGGATTTCAGGAAGCTCAGCCTTCCCCAGGGTGCAATAGAAGCTGCTGCGGAGCAAGATTTTGATCTGAAGGGTTATGTGTTTGAGGCTTCTCCAGAACAGCTCAGACCACCCAGAACTGTCCGCGTGGGACTGATTCAGAACAAGATAGTCCTACCCACTGATGCTCCTGTGCTTGAACAGGTGAGAGAAAGAAGTACACACTACATATAATGGCCAGGTGCTAAAACAAGTTTCATCTATTTATCATTTTTAATTTGAATTGTATTCTCATTTTGCTTTCACAGATCACAGCTTTGCATAAGCGTGTGGGGGAGATGGTAGAGGTTGCGGCCATGTGTGGAGTCAATATCGTATGCTTCCAGGAAGCCTGGAGTGAGTACACAAACAAACAAACACACACACACACACACTCAGACACATAAAAGTGATGGCTTATTCTTTTGTTAAATAACTTTTAAATATATTTTTTATACACTTCTTTAAACAAAAATTAACTCTACAGTCATTTCAAAAACATGCTGAAACATTCATAGTTGACAATAAAAAAAAACTTAATTCATGTCAAATCTACGGTACATGTGTGATGATTATAAATTAATTTAGAACTATTTTACAAATAATTTTAGATGAAATATAACATCTCTGCAATACACTGACTAACTACCCATACTCAGTCAGAAATATTACTTGTTTTAATTCTATGGGTATAATACGCCATTTCCTGTTGTCCTCAAGGAAATGAATGTGCTTATTTATGAACAGAGCATATATGATGGGAAGGCTTTTTGACCTTCAGTGATGTAAGATGCCCTTGAAGACATCAGCAGACTCTGGTTTACCTCAGCAGAGCGCAGCAGGGTCGTAGTGACGAAGTTTAAGCTGCGCTCACAGTTTGTCTGTTTGTGTTGGCCGTGGCATGCTGTAGGGATGCTTCCTGATGAAAAGGAGTCTCATGTTCCAATTATAAACTCACTAGGCATTCCAAAGGTCATTCAGTTCCTTTGGGTCCCAAAAGGTTTCCTTGCCCAGGTTTGAACCCCCTTAACCACCACCCCATGTAAACCTTTGACCTCTTGGCTCTGATTTCCTGTGTTTCCATGCACATCTATGAAGCATGTTTGCTTGGTTAGTCGTCATTAAAACATGCCATGTAAACAATAATCATTTCGTCATGCTCTCTAAACAAAACAACAACTGCTAATGAAAAACAAGACCATAAACCTTTCCACTGTACTTCGCATCCTCCCTCTTAGCAAGAAAAAACACATTTTATTGGACACCGAAGAGAATCAATTTCGACAGATTAAAACCCTCATAAATACAAATCAGCTCTAATGAAATATTTTAGGGGAAACAAATAAGCATAATTTTCTCTCCTGTCTCCTCTCATGTCCTCCACTCTTAGCAATGCCTTTTGCGTTTTGCACTCGAGAGAGGGAGCCCTGGACAGAGTTTGCCGAATCGGCAGAGGACGGGCTCACCACACGCTTTTGTATTCAGGTAAGAATTGAATAAATGGATGTCTTCATATAATCGTAACACTTATCCTTTGCTATGAAGCATCATCTTGATCTTTAGTTATACACTCAAATATTTAAAGGGATAGTTCACTTTGAAATTAATCTTTGATATGTTTTAGCTTACCTCAAGGGCATCCAAGATTTAGGTGTCATTGTTTCCACAGTATTTTCAATTTTGATATTTTTCGGTCAAACCGTTGTTGTCTATCAGTCATATAATGGAGATTTACGGGGCCCACCTTAAAGAGCATGCACAGAGAAGTCCAAATCAAACATGATTTAATGATTCGTAAATGTAAGTACACATTGATGGCCTAAGACAGGCAGTGGCGGTTCTACTTTGAATTACACCCAGGGCGAGACCCCCCCCCCCCCCCCCCCCCAAAAAAAAATTTGCATATTATAGGCTACTGTAAAAACTCATAATTAAAGTTGATTTTAGTTGATCATTAAAGTATTAGATAATATGGTGACCTAAATGATCACACACAGAATCTTGTTCAAAATGCCTAATACACAGTG